AACAGCCATTGTACAAGGGCTAATATTGAATGATGTAAAACATTTCACATTGAATGTCACCAGCATAAGATCAACCTAGTTTTGCAATCAGGTGTTTCATTCTATTTTGATTAAAAGCAATCAATTGATCATATTGTTATGAAGGTATTAGCTAAACTGCAGCTGGTGCAGGGTTGGCCTAGTGGCTTCAGCATGCGACTATCATCCCTGAGGTCGTAGGTTCGATCCCGGCTGTGCACTAAGGGACTTTATTTATATGTGCGCATTTAACATTCACTCGAACGGTGAAGGAAAACATCGTGAGAAATGCGACTTGTTTTAGACCCAAAAAGTTGACGGCGTGTTTCAGGCACTGGAGGCTGATCACCTTCTTGTCTATTAGATTTAAAAAAGATCATGAAACAGATTCAGAAATCTGAGCTCAGACCTAAAGAGGTTGTAGCGCCACTGATTTTTTCTTATTAGCTAAATTGCAACATCGTTTAATATATTCGATTGACCTAAGTTCCATACGGAGGGAAAATGCGTGATTCTGTGTACTATTGTCACATAAAAATTACAAATTTTCGTAACAAATTTGAAAGGGCCGCAAAAAGTAGACGAATTATTACGCTCTATGAAAGAAATCAGCTGCTCAATAGGGTAGCCTTCTGTGAGAATAAATAACATAATGGATCGGCCCGGCGAGCGCGCGGGGTCTTATCGTTGCCATAGCAATCGCCTGGGAGCGGAAGCCTGGTACCGTTATTATATTAGACTTGGGTACGTGAAGATCAAAGACTCGAGTATTTAATAAAAGATAAGATGTGATGTTTAGCGAGCACACACAATATTGTGATAGCGATAAGATATCTAATTGAATCCCCTTATCAGCCGTTAAATTGGGGCAAGTCACGGCAAACATTTCCGTCGGTGATAAGCCGAATAAAAGTGATAACTCAGCGCTGCATAGAAACAAATCTTGTTACTATAAATAAAGATTAACTAATCAAAGTTTTCCCCGGTAGTAGCTCGATTCATGGGCGACAACGTAAACACAAGGATCGTTTAGTGGGTGGGCTTTACCCTTTCTCCCTCGGGCAAACTCCCCAGAGCCAGCTAAATTGTGACATTTTCAGCGCCTTTTCACAGTTAGCCTTGTGTGGTTTGAAATTTTATTTCGCAATAATAATATCAAACGAGATAAGGCGGTGTAATTGTCAGACACAGGTTTTAAATCGGCTATTAAGAATATTATTTAAAAGGTCAGTAAGTAGGTAAGCGACCTTAAGACCAGTTCTTCAGGTTTGCAATAATTTTATTGAGATGGTGCAGGTATACCTTTTATTTGTTTATTCATGATTTACTTGTATTTCAACAGCGGTACTACAAAAGGGGATTTTTCAAAAGCGTAAGTGTATAGAAAAAGATTAAACTTCAGAGCTGGGAATATAATCTTTAAAGTACGATATTTGCACAGTTGAGAATTGGCAGAGAGTGCGGACCAACGTATTTTAAAACGGTTACATGCACATTTGCTAGATATCCGATAACAGAACCCAGTGTAACGTGTCGAAATATTACTTGGCAAATATCCAAATTACCGTGCGGCAGCTATTTCTAAGGAAAACCCTTGATAACAGCTTTTAAGCGTTAATAGGAAAGACTTAATGCTCCGTGTTGTATAGGGTGGGATGGAGAGGATTTGAGCGGATCGGCTGTGATGTATAGCGGGTTACCGCTGAACGATTTCATTCGATCACGATTTATTTTCCGAAACTACGCCCTTTTTCGCTTATAAAATAAAACGTATGTTTTATTTATACAAAAGTGCATGGTCGCTGTTTAATTAGATGTGTATGCAGTAAACCGAGAGTGCCTATTCATTAATTTTCGATTCCCACAATAAATATCGTCACACACAAACTGTCTACTCTTCATTTATAATGCCAGCGTAGACATACTGCGCAATTGTACGACAGGAAATGTGTACTCAATTGTTTTGTATTAACGCACATTTGAATACTAAAATTGTTCATGTAGATTTCAGGATACTGGTGGTACTGGTTCGACAAGTTCAGACTGAGGTCATAGGCTTTGGTTCTTTGTAAGCTATTGCGGTTGCGAGCAGACGAGCAGGCATGTTTCATTTCGTATTACGTCTCCCCTTTCAAAGCGGCAGACTTTCATCATAATGAGCTTTCTGCCGTAGGCCTTAACCGCAACGCATCAGCGCAAAATCTCACTTGCTTGACTATCAAACATTGTACGATAAATAGTTTTCGTGCTTAATAATTTATGTACAATTATTTCTAATAATGTATATGACTTTGGTGGTATTTTCCGTCACAAAAACATTCTCTGTATATTTTCCTTAACGGAGAGGTAAATATTATTTTAAATAAATTCTTGGATAGTTCATAACAATAGAGACATCAAGACAATAAGTAATTCAAATATATTATTCAAACAAAAATAGTGTTACCGATTTAGTTTGTTCCAAAATCTAAAAAAACTAAATTTCTCACCGATATTTACACATTTACGTTCTAATTGGGTATTGTTTACGTTTTTATATCATAGGAACGAACGGGAAACGTTTTCATTATTTTAGGTGATTACATTATAAATATTCACAACTCGCAGGGCGGACGGGCTCTACAAAATGGCTGCCGCAGGCGCGCTATTCAGCCGAGTCGTGACCGACTGGAATCCACGAGTTTGCCCGAACCCTCATCAATTATGCATGAATGCGACCGAACGGCAATGTTTACGAGACAATTTATTGCGCTGTGCGGTTTTTGACATACGATCGCTGACCGGTCTTGTGCTTGATAAGATGACGAAATAAGAATATACAATCGTGAATATAATAACAATTTTTCCTTCATTAATTGTTTGTTTGACCCTCATAGTAATAGGTGAGTTGTAAAATAAATTATATTTTAATGGACCATTCGATTATGGCACTATATGAACATACAATTATATAGTTATACACAGTCGTAAACAAAGCGAATGCGAGGTATTTTTACAATGTCCATAAAATGTCATAATGATTCATTGTTATTGCATCACGCAGTCGTCAAATTAATTCAATCTATATCGTCTACGCCTCGTCGCAGCTGTGTTAGCTATTGATAACGTTGAATAACTCATTGTTCGAGCCAATCGCAAACATTCTGTGTTTGTAAACCTCTTTTCGTTTATAAAGTTTTCTCCCACGCGTCGCACGCTCGAACTTACAACACTTGACGTCACTTCTAAATGCCGTTTTTATATCCGAGGTGAAAATGCATTTGCGCATCCCCTGCCCCCGAAAGACCAGAATCTCTGCTATTCAGAGACTGGGTGAGTAATACCCATTAAAATCGAGTAGTTCCTACAAAGCCAGATTGTGGCTCTGGTGTCGCTCTCGCATTCTACCGAGGCCTCAACGGAATAGGAGGTAGAAGATGAGCATATCTTCTCCTGTTTACTCCGTCTTTTAACCCTAGGATTCGTCCTAGAACGCTCCCTTTCACTTCTAATTGCCTGCAAATTGATTTAATAAACAATTTATGTCATTTCGCGTAATATTTCAACTTTGACATTTCGTTGGCAGCTGTGCGCTAACAAATGACTGTTTATAATCTGTACACAGACAATAAACGTAGTTACTTTTTGTTGTCCAATATACAATTATAATTGCCATCCTTATCATTCGACATTATTTAGATAATATACTTATCTAAGACCAGGTTATCAACTGTTTGCGTTTCCTATCAACAAATTCCCGTCGTGTCGGTTTAGCACATTGCGATAGCGTATTTAGTTTTATTATGGCTATTTGGAACGTATTATTATTAAAATATGGGTTCACGGAGGTCGTTGGGAAATTTCACGTAACATTCGCATATTAACATGATTAACGCAAGGCCAAAACAGAAGCACCATGTTTTTACGTGTCTTGCCTACAAACCGTACTGGCCCTATTAACGTAGGCACGTTTACTTTCTCGAACAAACTTAAATCTAGTTTCCAGAACTGTCAAACCATTTGTTATGTATGAAGTTTGACATATTTGTCAGCGCTCAAGGCGAGATACGAATTACCTTAGAGTCGTTCATAACCTTTTAATCTCTTGAAATTTACTAAATAATGTTAAATTTCGTACCTGAATTGGTCAAACTATAATTAGAGATTTAATAAACAACTCTGTAGGCTGTAACACTGAAAAAGTTAATTAGCTTTTTACGCGACCAATCATCCGGCAAAAACACGCATTGTAACGCGGTCATGGAAAGTGTTGTAATTCAATCCTAAATCAAAACAGGTTTTTGCTCGGGTCTATTAATTCCAATAATAAGATATTAAACGTGAGAAATATTTGCTATTCCGCGTCATAAACACAAGTCGTATAGACTTTACCGGAATAGTTGGATGTTTGCCAAATCGCTGGCAGTTGTTAAAGCACCCGGCATGTTGGTCAACGATCGATATTTTGTTTATGTTGCTCTAAATTACACCACGGCTATAAATAAACGTTTATTTTCATCCGACGAAATTATATTTTGCACTAAAATTCTTTGTTCCAAAGATAAAGTTATCTTTTTGTAAACAAATTTATAATACATTCATTTAGTGCTATTATCACGTAGCGATAAGTAGATTACTAAAGCAATTGTTTCATATTCCAGATAAGTAATGTTTTCATAAACACGTACATATTTTATCACAGAAATGGACCTCCTTAGAACTATTAATTAGTTGTATTAAAAACCCACGGAGGCCGTTATATGTATGACCAAGTATTTTAGCACTTAAAATTTCCTTGCTACATACGATATATTGACACGTTGCTAGTATTTCCAGTTACATAAAGCCATAAATGGTGTGTCATTACGCCAAAGTCGGACGCACATCGTGATTATCAACATCTGCTCTTCCTGTTATGTTATCGTAGCCGGTCTAGTGAATATATCGGTGGACGTATAGACGGGTGCTACATGCATTGCATTGCCGTCAGGTGCGCTCACTGTATGCGCGGGGAGAGCTCCCCATTTCCATCCCTCTGCCCTCCTCACACCCGCATTGCCGTTCACTTGTTGCTACGTTGTGCTACGTCGAGCAGTGAGACTGGCGCCCCCCTTCCCCCCGCCCCACCGGCCACCACTTCTCCGCGTTTCAGTTCTTTGTGCGCCGCCGAGGCTTTAGCACGTCTGTTCTACTTTAAGCTACATTTCAGCATAGATCATCTCTGTGCAATTAACGTGTAGCCTTCTAGAGCTGTGTGTGTGTGAGTGCAGGTGAACGCCTGGTTACTTCGTACAATTTCCTGACCGCATTCAAGGACGCAATCGTGTGGATTGTTTTTAATTTTCAACGGTCATCGCTGAGGATTCCTATTTTTAGCACGGATATATTTGTGTGACTGAAGTTTGAACATTGTGATTTTTGATTAGATATTCTCCTTAATAAGATTAGTGTTTTATACATGGTCGTTGAAAACTGCATATAGCGTGTTAATATACCAACCAAAAGTGAGTATTAAACTTTTTAACCTGGTTACCTACTATAAATGTCTTGTGATGTCTCATACTTAAATGTGATAACTAAATGTGTCTGTCATGTAATATTATTCGAGTACTCGATTATCAAACTGATTACAAAGATATTTAGCAAATAGGTACGCATTTTTTATTTGAATAAAATCAATAATCAAACCCGAGCTTTAAATAATGCAAGATGAACCAACCAAGTTTATTTCAAGAACTTTCTAAAGGCGCATAGGCTATCAAGAATCTAGTTATCGTATACTGAGTCACGAGCATTATATCGTGAGATGTTAAGAAGATTAGAGACCGCCTCCGCATTCTTCACAGATACATTGCGCAATATAGTAGATTCTAGGTAAATAACGGCGTAAAACAAATAATATCTCAGTCTTTTATGTTTATACATAAGGAATTAGTATACGGTATTCGTTTTAGGTATTGTAAAACATGTTTTTCAATGACAATTACGAATTAATGTAATGCACAAATTAGCTCTTAACCTTATTTTGTCGGTATAGGCACGGGCTTACCAACTTTACGGTAGATTTCTCGAATATCAGTGTATAGATTTCCTTAGTTTGTGTATACTACATTAATTCTATGCCAACAATTGGAAAACTTATTGGACTACTTTTTAACGTTATTTTGGTTTTACGTAGGTATTGGTCATACTTAAGTCGTTTTACGAAAGTTTGCAGGTCAAGATAATCCAATTAAGTCGCGTATGTGTCGTATTATATAACGTAATGCAATTATGTTGCAGAGAAAGCTCAGTATTCTGTAGTGTCCCATTAACGAGCGGTTATTGTCCGAGTGGAAGTGTTTCATTACACGCTTCACGACTCGACATGCACTAATGGTTTTAACGAGATTCTGCGATACATCTGATAGTTACGATCGGTTGGCTTTAGTTTACGAGTTATATTGATGGTACAGACTATAGATAACAATACAATTATATCCGGTGGACTTATGATTTTGTCATTGACTAGAATGACCATTCAGAAAATATAGGTTGCGTCGTAGGTACAGTATAAATTTATAAAGCACGGCAGTTACTGAAGTTTTCATTCAAACGTAAAATCAAAGTTTTTTATGACTTTAAGGAATGACAACATTTTTACTTCGTATGACTCGTTAACGACAAATGTTGTTTAATAATTAACTACAATGAATAATTCAGACAGGATCCGAGTTTGTGGTTAAACATTAATTCAACATAGTTCTACATAAAACTTGGTATTTCGAAGAATCATTTAACATAACATAACCTACATACCATGTTTGCGTGTCGAATTAACATCGCCATTTTTGTCAGACATTTGAAACATTCGGTTCGCTATGAATAATTCAATAGCAATATTTATGGTGCGTCGCTGTGCGTTTGTGTCAACTTTTTGCTATTCCTTTCTAGCTAATGAAAAGCTCTCACCGGTTCCGCCTCAGCGTTTGTCTTGTCAATCAGTCTGTCGTAGTTACTCTTACCGGCCAGTTATTTGTTACCCCATTGTACCAGCCCGTTGATCATTGCGCCATTGTCTCGAGTCGAGACTCTTTTGTTTACACATTTTCAATAGTCATTTGTTTAGTGGAAGTTCGTTTTGTTTTCTCTCATCTTTCTAACATAACAGTAACAATGTTTTGTACATTATATACTTACCTGTTTTGAGGTAATCGACAATTGATAAAGTCGGTTAAGTTAATAATTGTTTACCTTTTTAATCGTTTCCGGATTTTGAAAAACAATTAATCGTTTGAGCTGTGAGGTGCAAAATGTTCATGCTATTAAATAAACTGGTTAGACCAGTTCCAAGTCCGCTTTGCGACAGTATCTCGATAAATTATTATTATGCACTCCAGAGAATAGAGATCTTTTGATCAATTTTATACTGGCTATGAATAATTATTTATGCAATTATGTTAATGCGGATCGACGCTAACGGCAACTCATTAAAATTCTTTTGTACTCTTCGTTTCGCACACACGTCTGTCGATTTCGTGTCGAATGCTAATATCTGCTTAATTATTTCCAAAAAATTTAATTTTGAAATGTTTGTGTATTTAAATAAGATAAATTATTTGCCCTTTCGAAAACGTTTTAATGTTTAAGTCGTAACGATGCTGTCATTGTATATTCGATCTGTCATCTTTATCTAGATTTATTGCTAAAAATGCATACATATCAAACATTTGGCAACACTTCTTGGCCAGCATCCAGTTATTCACGTGTATATACAGCGAAACCCTGCCAAATGCCAAACATTTTTTCTCAATACATCCCTCTGTCATCTTCCTGTTCCGGTTTGTCACTTGTAATAAACTTGAAGGAACGTGACATCAGGTTTATTCTTGTCACGCCCACGGCAGGCACCATTTATAATAGTCGTTGCACGCTTTTGAAAGTAACTGATGTAATAATTACAATCAAGGTTTACCAATGATCGAAAACCAACAACTTCTCGATGTGTACTCGTTATTTACACGATTTTTGTACAGCTGTTGGTATGCGAGGTTCGAAGGTGAGACGCGGTCAATTATACTGAGCGATTGGCGTATAGTGAATGAGTGTGATGTTGGCTGTATCCCAAATGTGTTTATTTAAGCTGACATGCCATAGACTGACGTAGACTTCCACGTTTACTTGGCAAAATGTCAGTGATTATTGCCACTTTCTCTCAATAATATAATTAATCTGCTGATGATGCAATAAGATTTTGATTGGATGTGGCAAATAAGAAGAGTTCCTGAATATCAACATAAACTAATTCGCATTCTCTCTTGTTGCAGGTGCCACAAAAAGTGTGAGTGCAAGTGATGTGGTGGAAGCCAGTGAGGAAAAGTGCTTAACGCCCGTGGAATTAAAAGAAAGTGAAGTTAAGAGTGAAGTGAGTGTGGGCGCGGATGTTGCCAGCGCCGTGGCCTCCGAGGAGGACGATTGTGTGATAGTGAGCGCGCGAGATGCGGACGATCGGTCCGACTCGGGCGTGAGTGGTGTGCGTTCGGGCGGCTCGGCCAGTTCCGTGGAGGAGTGGCGAGGGATGGCCCATGGCTATGGAGGTGGTCCGCCACCGCCCCTGCTGCATCTGCCGCCACCGCCGCCCTCGCTCTACGCGGGCGAGATGCTGTGGAAGCAGCGCTACCAGCCACCGCTGCATGCGCCGTTGCATCATGCCATCGCGGACGACTACCTTGCGGCCGCCAACTTCGATAGAGAGAGACATGAAAGACTGTTACGGTGAGTTCTATTTGCTTAGTTCACTTAGAGAATTCAAGGTAAAATGACTCATGCTAGAGCTTCTGAAGGTTCTGAAAAGAAAGAGAAGGACTTTTAAGAAAGCGTTATTTATATTTCTAAATCTTCTGTCTGCTAGTTATCTTTCAGAATCGTAAAACAGTTGTACTCAGTAGAAAAATATATTAAATACCGAACGAAACGGTTAATTATGCGTATTATCATGGTAAAAACAAACTCATTGTTTAAAGTATATAAAATACAATATTTGCACACTGTTATCTTTTAAGTTAAATACTAAATTTATGTATGTCATGCCATCTCAGACAGATAAAAATAAACACATGATAAGAAAAGAATATCTTCCTGTTAATAAAACTTTTCAAGGTTATTTAAAAATAATTAAGGATCTAGAGATCAAGGTGAGAAAGATGTCCATTTCCGCCTTCAGTTTCCGTCTTTTTTCCTCTGTTTACTTTTTCGAATAAAGAATGTACTTCGTCGATAGTAGATAGGAGGGTCATAATAGTCAAATAAAAGTCCTTCGTTAACGAAAATGTCACACATTACATGTTTTTGCGTTTATACTCGTTAAATTACAGAGATTTTATATAAGGCCGTTGTTGGATAATTAATTTATGAAAAAAATTTATATTCGAATATAGCACACTAATAACCATTTGAGGTTATTATGTTTTACAAATTACTGAAACTACACACATACACAATTCCACAGTTTTAATAAGTTCCAATTGAATGTCTTAATAGGCAGACATATTATAATTGCACGTGAATTTGTATTCTTTATGACATTAATTATGTGAAATAAAAATATACTTTAGTAAAAAAGCTTGTGATATAAATCTTATTAAAAACCAAATAATTTATGTAATTTGTAGTTAAAGTTTGTTTTCAACATTAAAAATTGTAGAATAATATTTCAATTAAACACACCACTGTCTGTTATTTCTGTTCTGCTTTTTTCACATTAACAAATGCATCCAACAAAGGTTAGTCAATCTATATACATATTTATAAATACTGGACTTTCACAGGAATAAAAGTAAATTGAAGTATGCTATTTAAATATTCATTGGTTTTGACACTAGCATGTAACTTGTTGTATTTTTAATTAGTTTCTTGTTGCCTTACACAACTAGTATAATAAGAATTATTATATAATTGGGACGGATCTCTTCCGGAGAACCAGCTGTTACTACATACCTAGATAGACTTATTTCAATTACATGATTGTTTAAATCAGAGGATAGTTACATTTAAAAGTGTGTTTACAATTATTGTTCTACACTTATATGCTTAAAGCCATTTCTTTCTAAATGTCTTTATATAAAACAAGTGATCTTTTCTAAAACCCAAATCTATCATTTCATTTGATAGACAAAATCTTCTAAAAAAGAGAATGCTTATAAAGATTGATTGTAAATTTGAATAGGATTATGAGTTTGAAAGAGCTTTTCTATATATCTGAAGATTTTTCTAATTCTGTAGGTCTGTAATAGTTGATGAATACAACACACATATTGTTCCTTGTTTAGTTTACTTTAGTTAGGAAGGTTATTTAAAATATCAATTTAATCTCCATAAATAAGTCTTTTATATTTTCAAATAAGTTTTTGAGTACCCCGTTCAAGCTGCTAATTGAGCTTATGTTAATACTAATAAAATAAAGAAAACAAAATCTGGATCTATTATTTTATTGTATAAATACTGATGTAGTTGAATGTCCAAAGTACACGATTGTTATACAACTAAATCAAATTTTAGCTTGGCCTAGGAAGGCAAAAACATGATAAAAGTTATTACATGTAATTTCAAATTATAATAAACCATTAATCTGTTATTTTGTACTTTAAGATAGATTTAAATGTGGTGTTCAGTAATAAATTACTTGAATTGACCTTCAACTTTTTACCTGCAGTTCAAAACATATCGACAGTTATGCAAATCAGGCAAGTCTAGTGGTCAAGTGTGAAATTCATAACGTCGTGATTTTTCTTTCTTAGAACGCAATTAGCACTCAAGGGAAACCATCGCAATGATCCGCCATTACGTAGACTCGGAAATCTACTACATGTCACGCACAGTAGACAGATCGTTCGTTCGTTCGTCTTAGCTTCTTGACGTCCAACGTTGGACATAGGCCTCTTCCCTTAATTTCCAGTATGACGGGTTTGCATTCAACGCCAAGGAGAAAGTCCGATCACAGACTTTTGTATGTTAAAATAATTTTATTTCTCATTACAAGAAATGCATTTTTATTTACATGAGAAACTTATGATGTTTATATGAACGAGATACACGTCGCCATCAGCCGTGCCAATTTTAGTATACTAGGCTCATTCTGATGTATCTTTAATGCCCTTTTGAATTGGTTAAATGCGCTAATATAACGAATTTTAGACGGTAATTGATTAAATAATTGCACACTCTCATACTTAATAGACTTCTTCAAATAATTTGTACGCGGTTTCGGCAAGATTATCAGTGAAACAGATGGAGCATGTGTCTGAACTATTACTTATTGGCTATTGCTGGACTCCATACATACGGATACTACTAAATATAATAAAAACCTTTCTTACATATGTAGAAGAAGCTTAAATATAAAAAAAAAACACTAAGAATAGCATTGCCATGAATGGCTTAGTGAAATTATTCTAGGTAGTAGAGTAAATTTAAGTCGAAATTGTAACCCATTCCCACCCACATCACTGGATTCAGTCGTACTTGAGCTTCGCCAGTTTGGAAACATAATTTTAAACAGATAAAATAAAATGTAAAACCTACTTGTGCCACATACTTTTCTCGGCCGGCGGCTGAAATTGGTACTACTGTCGCCATTTTGAAATGTCTCTCAATTTCTTGGTGCGTTCGATCAATTATTTCACTATCTACCAACATCTAATAAAAAGCCAACTAAAATGTATTTATTTTTATTTCTTGCATAATAATTACAATGGCAAAGTTTTAATTATCGAATGGTTCTTACTAGGTATCTTAAAAGATATTATATTAATAGTAACAGGCAACAAAACCTATCATATCAGTTGTTCCTAAGTTTTTGTCACATTCATTTAAGCCTAGATCTGCATTTTCTAGATACTGGTATACATTGTTTCATTAAAATATTCCAATAAATTATAAGTTAGCCTGCAAATGATTCCCCTTATAATGGTTAATTTTTATTTATGGGCAATACTAATATCCATGGCCGCTCTTACCGGCCAAGAAAAGTATGGGGCACTGTAAAATGAAACTATTAAAAACGAAAAATAAGAACATTTCAAGCAGTTAGTTCTCTTTTTTACTATTAGATATCGTAGAATGTGCTAGTAACATAAGTATAACATAGTTAAGTCTAAAAATAGTATATATCTTGACATTATATATTTCTATCGTGATTGATATTATAACGATAACTTGTATCTCTGGTTTCAATCACAAGCTTACATTTTATCACTCTCTCGATTTCTGCTGAATATAATCTGTGATCGAAGACGATTAGTCTTATGGAGGTTTATCTGTTATCATAATGACAGTCGTGGCTTAGACGAAGTATTTAGTAGACTATTCACACGAGATTCGCGCAACGCTGTCAAAAATACGTAGGTATGTTACAAAGATCATTTACGGATGAGATTGGTTAGCTTATTTGGTTTATTTACTTGATTGTATATTTAAGACGTCACAAATAAGCTATAGGTAAGTTTTTAACAATCATTCATTAGACCATAAAATATTTATTCAGATGCTGAACCCAGACGACAAAAATTGTATAAGCAAAACAATAGACGAAGGAGACATGATTCTTTGTCCTGCTCATTCTACTATATTTCGCATCGTAATTCCTATTTTAAGTCTCAATCTACTGGATAATTCAGTCTTGCAGTCTTATGTTGGCATATGAAATGGTATATAACTGCCAGTATGATATCCTCTTTTGTATCCCACATTACCATGGAGAACAGAAACAGTGACATATTTCAAATGATATTTATCAGTGTAATAGAATTATCGTGCTTATAATAAAATTACTCTCGCTCGTAAATTGCTTCACATTTTTAGTTCAAGCGAGATCTTAGCAGATCTTTACTAATTACTACACAATTGGCAAATCAAGTCGGTGTTAAAGTTTTCATTAAAAAACTAAAGATCAATGTCCAATGACATTACTTTTTAAAATTGTAGACAAAATCATAATATGAATGTTATTATAAATAAAAATCGTCATGCCCTCAAATTGTAAGTAATCAATAATTTAGTTAGTTATTTTCTAAACATATTACTCAAAGTTAAATTTATTTAAATCGACAGTGACCTTGACCTAATTTAATAATTCAAACTAATACAAACCATGATATGCTTCTTTCAGTCTTCGGTTCGACGTTATTTTAGTTTAAATTGGTTTTCCCTTAATACAAATCAGCAGTGGAACGATTAGTAGGTACTGTAGTTAGTAACAATAATATACCCAAAGGTCCTTGGCGTCTTATCGTTTTATTTCCTCTGGTTATATCTCGTTTCCGGTATTAAATTACGACAAGATCGAGGAGACCTTGTAACAATGTAATTTTAAAAGGAATTGAACGCTATACTTTTTTACAGACAAATGTAACAATAATTATATTTCTTTATTCTAATAATTTTATAACCAATGTAAAAAAAGTTATAGGTTACTTTAAAGTATATTCAATGTATTTTGGTCTACAGGGAAAGAAGGGATCAGGAGCAAAGAGAGCATGATAAGCAACAAAAAGAAAAGGAAAGAGAACGGATAGAGAGGGAAAGAGAACGTGAGAGGGAGAAACAGGAAAGAGAGGAGAAGGAAAGGAGAGAACAGGAAAATGCGGCATCAAAATTAGTGTCGAGGCATTTTGAGGAATCTCTGAGGCTAGCGAATCAAAAGGTTAGTTCTTCTGAAAAACTTTTTCATGTGTTCAGAATATGCAATTTAATATTTCATACAGTTTTTAAAATCTGTCTTTTAAGCATAAAATAGTAACTATGCAATGATTAATAATAAATAAAACGTTTCGTAATTGTTGGTGTTTCTTTTATAGCGGGAGCGGAATATGTCCTGGTCGCTTCTCAATAATATAGCGCCCAACAGAGGAGGCTCAGGCCCTGAACATGAGAGGCTCCGAGCGCAAGAACGCGCCTACTACTCGCCTCCGGCGCATCCCCCCGATCGGCTCTCGCAAACCGAATACACCCAACACAATCCTCACGCTCCACACTCCCCCCATTCCCAACACACACCTAGACACACCCTCTCCAAATCGGACAAACAACCCCCGCTTCAGGGCCTTCCGAAAAGCGAACCAAATTTCGCGTCCTACAATTACCCCCTATACCGGTACGATAAGCTCAAAGATCAACATCTACCAGCTCCACCTCCCCTTGTCCCTGAAAAAAATTCTGTGATAGTCAAACATGACGCTAAACAGATCCATTTGGAACAGAAGCATCCATATCCCAGCAAACCGAGAAGCGAGCCGTCTCCGCACTACCTCTCCCGGCCGTATCGGACAGGTTTATCGCCTCACGCGCCACCACATCCGCATCCCGCGTTACAAACGCAACCTCATGCGGCTCTTCCTGCCCAAGACAAGAACCGTCGGTTATATCAACCGCAGCCACCCCAAAGATCCCCCGCGGGATATTACCAAACGGCGCCTCCAGTCAAACCAAAAGTATCGAGTCCAGCGCCACCTCACATCTATGGAAAACCGAGCAATTCTCCCAGCCCTGCACATTTCGGTATTGCAGTGGAACCACCGCTTCAATTATCAAAGGCTGAGCTCCCACCGGTACCGTATCCTCCGCCGTCAGCGTATTCGCCGGCGCTTCGAACGAGACCACCCCGGTAGCGCATTCGCGAACCCCGGAACCTAGACCGCCTCCCAGAGCACACGGAGATACCGCTACGTCGACTTCTCCCTGTCAAACGCAGCCGTTGGATCTCGGGATGACGCGGGAAGATCCCGATCGGCTATCGCCTAGAAGACGGTGTCCTTTCGAATCTTCAGATGCGGACCCAAAAAGAAGGCGATTAGACAGTCCCGCTCCGGAGCCCTTGATAGCGGCGGCGGCGAGCGTAGGCCGAACGCCTTTAGGTTCCGAGCCGGCCCCTCAGGCGCCCGGCCCCCCCTGTGATGTTAGAGTTCCTTCGGCCGACGGCAGTGTGGAAACCCCCGAGAAAGCCGCCGGCGCGTCCCCGGCTCCTCAAATAACGCCATCGGCGAGTCCCGCGCCGGTGACGATACCACAATTACCCTCTTCACCCCCGATCAGCACGACGTCGACGCCGCCCGCCCCGCCCGCAACTCCACCAGTCACTACAGTCGCGGAAAGCGACACTCCGGCTAAAATTGCCTCTCCTAGTCCACGCGACGGTGCTGCTCCCGTAAGGCATCTAGGAAAAAAAGCTTGGCTTCAAAGACACGAGACGGCACCTATTGGGGAAGGCGATTGTTCCGGTGGTGGTGGCACCTGCATAACGCTACCCATGACACTCAGCCGAGTGTCCGAACCCGATGATTCGAGTTCTAACATTGTCGTTCCAGTCGCGGCGAAGTCTATTCAAAGAGGCGCGCGGAAAACCTCGAAGCCTCGGAAGCCCAAAGAAGTGAACGGCCGGGTGGACGACGTCGAAGAAGACAGTTCCAGTTCGGACCGTGAACCAAGTTCGCCGCCGAAGCGAAAGCCCCCTAAGGCGAAACGGAAAAAGGGGGCCGTTAAGAAGGCGAACGATGAGCCAAAAAAAAAGAAAGCGTCAGAGAGTGGAAGTGAAAGTGATAAAGAAAGTGACGATAAGGACTCCGATTCGGCTGGGAGCGGGAGTGGTAGCGGTAGTGCTTCCAGTAAGCGTGGCGGAAGCAGAGCTCGCGGACGAAAAACCCGAGGAGGAGGAAGAGGAGGCAGGAGAAGGGAAGACCCTCCTAGAAGAACTCCCTCCACGGTGCGACCAAAGCCCGGCACGGAGTCCTTTCTCCAGAACGGGCCGTGCTTCGAAGTCGCCCCTAGGCTAGCAAAGTGCCGCGAGTGTCGCTGGTCGCCCGCTCAACGCGACAAAGACATGCCGAACATATTTTGCCGCTTCTACGCTTTCCGAAGACTGAAATATGCAAAGAATAGACAATTAGCTATAGCTGGATTTTCCGATCCATACAAAGACGCTGAAGAGGTAAATAACAATTTTTTCTTAAACCAGCTGCCTTCTTGGTTCAACTTATAAAGTAAAACTTTTAAATCTATCTCGAAACTTGGAAACAACTTTTCCGACAGCAATTAATAAAATTAAATGCATTTTGATATTTCTTTAAGTACAATTTCATTTTTAAGATTTTTTTTTCGTTTTTAGGATGACAAAAAATTATGGTTATCATCATCAGCTGGTGCAGCAGAATTAGATATAGAAATGAGTTGTTTCCTATTGAGAGAGATTGGAGACCAATTTTGTGAACTATTACAACAGGAAAAGGAAGCCGAATCACATCATTTAAATGAAGGTAAGGACGACAAAGATTCAAACTATATTTTGATACTAAATCATCACGAACCAGCCGTTTATAGTAGTAGCACTCCCAAAACATTTTATTTTTTCGAGATTTAATATATAGATAATATTATGTTTTCCTAGCAACACTAAACATTATGAATGTCCACAGATAAGACGATAGCGTGGAAACGCGTGGTCCAAGGTGTGAGAGAAATTTGTGACGTTTGTGAAACGACACTTTTCAATTTCCACTGGACATGCGGAAAGTGTGGTTTCGTCGTCTGTCTTGATTGTTATAAGGTGAGACTTAGTATATAATAATTTATTAATTAAAAAGTTATTAGAGTTACTATTCAGGAATTAACAACAAAGTGTCTGGACAAAGTTTGCAAAGTTTGCCAACAATAATGCCAACCTTCATACAAAAAAACCAAAGCCGCCATATTTGCCTTGCCTTGGCCACAGATTGCTGTATCTGTGTCGTGATCATTTATTTTTCTAGTAGGAAGTAGGTGATCAGCCATCTGTGGCCGACATGACGTCTACTTTTTGAGGCATGTCGGTTGCCATTAACATCTGTTTCACGATGTTTTCCTTCACCGTACGTTTGGGTGTTAAAAGCGCACCTAGAAAGTACATTGAGGGGGTTCGAACCTACGACCTCAGGGACGAGAATAGCACGCTCATGCTATCAGGCAAACAGCTCTTCTTGCGTTTAGACACTTTGCAAATGATGTTGTATTTTGTTGATTTATGAAAAATACTTACTAATTTAAAGAAGTATTTTAGTTAAGCTTCGACAACATGTTATTATTGACCTTGTGTTATTGTCAACTTAATTGTTTAAAATTGATTAAAATCACCAATTTGTATTTCAAAATACAGACAAATTATTATCGTGAATTATTGTTCTATTAACATATACCATACCATAAAATCAGGTAATAATTCTATGTCTATACTTAAATTAATGATATGTACATCATATTCAAGCCAAATTTGTAATAAATGAATGTTAAAGTTCATCGGAGATCATACAAATCGTTGGAAATACGATCTTAATGCTAATTCGAAAATTAATATTAAATTAATATCTTTGGTTGAATTACTTCTAAATTATATAAAGTAATTACTAATATGTTAATTATTTATTTCAGTCCAAAACATCGGGAGAAGCCAGTGCGAGTCCAGCCAGTGAGACCAGCAACGCTAATGCTACCAATGGAGAAAGAGATTCTTTTGGGTAATTATATATTTTATACTTAAAAGTGCCGATATCTACTATCCATATGTTGGTATATTGATAGCTATCTCTAATTATAGCTATATATAGAGTATTTTTTTGTTAATTGACATAGTATAGTAAAATGTGTTATGGCTATGAAGTCCTGTAACACGTCAGCACACAGTCTTATAATACTGAGTAGAAAAATGTTTAAATCGCAATAATAATAATACAATTTCACCAACTTACTGAATTATGCTGCGAAAAGTGGTTTAAAATTTCGTAATACAATCTATTAATGATGTAATCAGATCTTTATTTTGAAATCCGTGAACCGTTTTAAAATTGAAATAAAATTAATAAAGGTAAATGAAAACATACAACTGATTACTTTATCCTTTGTCAGGCATTAGTTAAGCTTATTATCCGTTTCATTTACATTACGGTTTAGTGTGTCAGATTCCATTTGTAATGGAAAATACCTATGCAGCGAAGATAACGTAAATCTAATATCACGTGGCAATACTGAATTAAAATGTTAAGTTAATAAAGTCTAATATAAAAAAAGTTATACAAATTTTAATAAATATATATAAACCGAGAAATATGACCGTGAAAATGACGTTCCTTGTGCGCATTTAACATTCGCTCGAACGGTGAAGAAAAACATCGTTGACTGGCTTGCCTTATATACAAAATGTCGACGTTGTGTGTCAGACACGAGAGGCTAACCTACTTGTCTATTAGATTGACATACGATCAGGAAAAAGATACATAAATCTGAGGCCCAGACCTAAAAAAGTTCTAGCGCCACTGATTAATTGAATTTTTTTAAATCGCAAAAAAAATATTTCATGTCCAAAAAACAAAAGCTAATATGGCTATATTATATATATGAAATGCTTCTTATTTTACATTTACTGCCAGTTCTCAAATCAAGGGCGTAGAACGGTAGAGAAAAACTGGCAATAAACTCTCCGCCACTACGTACCTAAAACAATAGAATTCAGCCGGGACCTTTGATTTTGGTCAACCGTTGTTCTAAACGATGTCGTCGTAAACGGTTTTGACTGTATATCATTTATCACATCATACTGAGCCATAATTACTAATAACCCATTTGTGATAGTCACGTGCATGTTTGATCTGACGCGTGACCTCCAAGTTATATAAGTCGTTCACATTCATATGTTTTATCTTTATGATTTAATTATCATAGTATATTATATCTATAACGTTAGTTCATTACATTATCTATTATATTTATGCACATATTATGAGGTCATGAGACAGTCTATTTTTATATCATGACTTTTATTTATATAGTCAGTATTTATTTAGCATTAAATAGTGCATAATTTAAATTTCAAAATGGATAATCATACTATGATATATGAGTAATAATAATTGTAGCAAAAGATTCTTGAACTATTTTAAAAAGTTTAGTAGATCTAAAATTGTTACTTTATTCTCGAATAAACTAGAACTCCAATTGATTGTTTTCTAAGTATGTAATCGTCTGTATAATTGAAGATCATTTATTATACAAACAGTTCATTCAAACCAATTTTTTCGTCTGTTGTCTATATATTAAAGTTATGTTTAAAGAACTTTATTTCTCATTACAAAAAGAATGTATTTTATTTACATGATAAACTTAATATGTATACACGAACGAGATACACGTCGCCATCATTAGCCGTGCCAATTTTAGACTAGGCTCATTCTGATTTGTATCTTTAATGCTCTTTTGAATTGGTTAAACGCGCTAATATTACGAACTTTAGATGGAAATTGATTTAATAATTGCACACACTCATACTTAATAGACTACTTCAAATAATTTGTACGCGGCTTCGGCAAGATAGCAAACTCGCTCGATGAGTATTGCGTGTAAGAGGTGTGTTGATTTTTAAATGATAAGTTGAATCTCTGTCAAATTTGTATGATATTAAAATACTCGGAGTTATAATATGCGAGCATTTTGGCCTAGTGGCCTAATCATGCAAACCACCTTTAATGTTCGAATCATGACTGTGCACCAAGGGTTGCTCTCTCTATTGCGCAATTAACCCTTGCTCATACGGTGTATGTCCGAAAAACCGAAGACTTGTGTCTGGCACAATTCTACTTGCCCATACAATATATGATCAAACTGGTGCAATTTGAGTTTATTCTAATATATATGACAAAATTATACTAATAATATATATTTCCCTCCAGCTGGCTAACATGCACATCGGGCGGGGCCCATCCTGCACGTCGCCTACTCCTGACCCAGATAGCGGCGGGTGGGGCACTCGTGGCGGCGGCGGCGCGTGCTCATAGAATACGAGCTGCCTTCTCCTTACCGGCTTGCGGATGTGGCTACAACACGGAACCCCCAGCTCATCATAAAGCGGCCGCTAGGTTGCTGTTACAACGGGCTTTGCAAAAGGTAATTTTTAATAGTTTACCAACTATACACAGAAAAGTTGTATAATTTTAGCATAGTCAGTGCCGAGATCTGTGTAACTAAAGATGGTATACTCTGATTTTTTATTCTGTAGAATTAACTTCAATTACTTTATTTTATTCTTTAGCTGGCATCACTGCCAACTAATTCCAGGTTTAGTAATCCTTTTAAAAAAATAAAATGTTATCTTTAATTGTGCGTTTTTTACTGTTTGTGATGAAAAGGGACGTAATTATCACTCGCCGTTAAACCACATTTAATGTGGAGCATCGCACTTAATAAAATGAATACATTAACTAACAATAGAATGTATCAATAGAATCAGATGTTCAGACTCGTATTGAAATTGAAAAATGTGCCAAAAAGGTTTGCTATCTCTGACATGTCAAAAAATGATAGTTAGACATGTCAAATCCCTACAACAACTGTTTCTTACTGTATCAGATTTGACTAAATGAAAAACTAACATTATACTTACCATTTACAGAGTATCAAAAAAGAAAACGTCAAAGAAGAGAACAGCCCGACAAACGGTTCACCGGTCAAGTCAGAAAACGGAAAGACCGGAAGCTCCATCGTCAGCTGGCTCTCTGACCTTCCCATCAAAACTGATCTCAAGTCTGAAAAGTCCGACTCAAGCTCGTCTGACTCGGAGGAAAGCGGGAACTACTCGACTCTCCGGGAATTATTAATACGACCGGCGCCCGAAGGAGGAGACACCCAACCCAAGAAGAAGCAGAAGAAAAATAAGAGTGACTTACTCGATGATGTAATATCCAGTGTTATCGATGATAAAAAGGATGACGATGAGACCAAACCGTTTGCGCTATCCAATGTAGTGAAACGGTATGAAAGGGGCCGAGGAAGGGAAGAACTGCCCATTCGTATCATGACCCTGACGGAGTCCAAGGTGCTGTACCCTGATGTGCCTCATTCCTGGCTCTGTGATGGAAAGCTCCTACATTTAACGGATCCCGTGCACTCCGGGAACTATAAGCCTTTCCAGGTAAATAAATACCTTTCATAATTTTAATTTTTCATTATAATGTAGGGTGAAAAAAAAATTCTGAACTCAAAATTCTTGATGAGAGTAAAATCAACCTCATTATAGTGTCCAGTATAGACTTTACGTAGAATTGTTTTATTTATTTATTTTATTATTTATTCCAGGACCAATGGAAACGCGGTCAGCCCGTTCTCGTGTCGGACGTGTCCAGTCTTCTCGACAAAGACCTGTGGTCGCCCGAGAGTTTCTCGCGAGACTTCGGAGAGACGCACGTGGACCTGGTCAACTGCGCCTCGGGACTGGTGGTCCCCAACCAGCCCGGAAGCAAATTCTGGGACGGATTCCAGCTGGCCGCCAAGCGGCTGAGGGACGAACGGGGCGCCCCCATGGTCCTCAAGCTCAAGGACTGGCCTCCGGGCGAAGACTTCGCCGAATTACTCCCGACGAGATTCGACGATCTCATGAGGGTTCTCCCTCTTGGCGAGTACACGTCGCGGAACGGGAAACTCAACCTCGCGGCCCGACTGCCGGAATGCTTCGTCCGACCGGACCTCGGGCCGAAGATGTACACGGCGTACGGAGGGGCTGGAGGCACCACGAACCTTCACCTCGACGTCAGCGACGCCGTCAACGTCATGGTCCACGCCAGCGCTCCGGCCGACGCCCCCGAGAGGGCCCGAGAGGCTTCCCGAGCCGCCGAAGAGGCCGGCGTCGACGTGCTGTCGCGCAAGAGGGCCAGGGTCAAGCCCCCGGCGGCCCTTTGGCACATTTACGCGGCTAAAGACGCGGACAAGATCCGCGATTTCCTAGTCAGGGCCGAGCTGGAGCGAGGGGCCAGGCCGCGGGCCCAGCACGACCCCGTCCACGACCAGACCTGGTACCTGGACGCGGCTCTGAGGGAGCGCCTCTACCGCGAGTACGGGGTCGAGGGCTACGCCATCCTCCAGTGCCCCGGAGACGCCGTGTTCGTCCCGGCCGGCGCCCCTCACCAAGTGAGGAATCTGCTGGACTGCATCAAGGTGGCCGAGGACTTCGTGTCCCCCGAGAACGTGTCGCGCTGCTTCGAGCTGGCCCAGCAGTTCCGGCGGCTGTCCCGGCAGCACGCCAACAAGGAGGACAAGCTGCAGATCAAGAACATCGTGTACCACGCGGTGAAGGACTCCCTCTGCTGCCTCGAGGAAGCCCTGGAAGAGAAGTGAGGGCCGGAGCGAGGCTCGCATTTGATCTCAACTTCGAACGTAACGTTATCGTTAGTTCAGCATTTAACGTAAGATGGGAGAGTGAGTGGACGGCGGATGTGTGAGTGCCGGAAGTGCTCCGGAAGTGGTCCGCGGAGACGGAAATTAGTCTGAATACGGTGATATCGAGACGTGGATGTTTTATGTTCCTTTATCGAAATACAAACTTTTCCGGTTAATTCGGCTTAATGTAGCATTAGTGATGTATGTATTGTGTAAATCTTTAATTCGAATTCCATCGAGTACATATTAAGAAGTCTTGTAATTTAAGTTATTGTATTGAAGTAAACGTATTCGCTCCGAGCATTGTACATTAAACGCGGCGTGTAGATAAGTTTATCCTACGTTAGATTTCTCAATTCGGTTAGTATGTTACGGAATGAATAGTTAAAATGTGGGACGATTTTATTTGGTCCTTATTGCTGTATTAGAAGAAAGCAAGTTTTTTTTGTACTGTGTATATTATGTATGGTTATAAGTTGGAATAAAAAAAGATGTTTATATTATGAGTGACTTTTATTTCTCCTTCTTATGGAATATCAGACCCTTGAGATCTTAGTATAGGTGTATACATATAAGATAAAAAAAATAATTTAGACTCGGACCAGTACTCAACAGCAAGCCACGACAAAAGAATGGCATGCGTTGGTTCTTGGTAACAATTTATTTCTCTGGAGTTAGTGAAACGTTGTATATTCTAAAGTATTAACAATTGAAAATAAGTAATAAAATGGAAGTCGACAAAATAAGTGTATTATTCTATTAGATAACAACTAGCGACATCTCTGAGCAAAAAGTAGAACTTTGTGTTATACATAGTGTCACTATTCGACGCTAGAGGGCAGTGTTAAAAGTTTTTAATTAGATGCACCTACCCAGGCAGAAGGCTGATCAGGAGATTTAACAAGTAGGGTCCTATTCAAAAAATTATTAAAGACACAAATGCCATCTGAGGGCAAGACCTATTTAGGGTTGTAGGGCCACTGGATTAGTAATATTTATTATACTAAATAAAATTTTAATTTTTACGATTTCTTATTTTATTTAATTACATTAAAGAGATCCGTAAAAAAAATCCATTTTTGTTCTATGAAGGCAATATCAATTCAATACGTGATTGCTCTTGATAATTGGCGCATTGCTAGGCGTTAACTTATTTAGCAAAAACAATTTCTTACCATAATTATAAATTATAATTTATACAAATTAAACATATATTTAGTATAGTTTTAATCGTCACAACATACGATATGTGTAACATAAATCATACGATTTTAAACAATACTATTCAACCAAATATGTCTACTTAATACTTAACAATATAAAAAATGTTTTTACAAGTTAATAAAATAATAAATTTATAAATTTTTTGTATCTTTTATTATGTAATTTTATTCCTAATTAATTTCTTATGTTTGTTTTTTAGTTAGGCACTCTTGTCAATTTAAAGACACCTGTTAGGACAGGAGTGTTCTTATAAATAAATAAAAACTTCTAGATGATAAGCCATTATTACTTCTTTGTTTATAAAGCTTTATACTTTATATAAGTAGAATATAATGTTGTAAATGTATTACTGTATAAGTCTGAGCGAGAGCATAAACGAGAAACAAAACTAGGGTTATAGACTCCAAAGTGACGTGATAAAAATGCTCTGATATAAAGCGAATCTGACCCCCACCTCGCTCAGTTCACCTTTAGATTTCCTTTAGTGATCAACAAGCGTATTACACAACATGAAGGCTTTAACAATTTTCTTGTTTGGTGAGTTTCTTTCAAATTATACAAGTATAATGTAACATATCTACCAATTTTAAAAATTTAGTTTACAAATACCTAAGGTGATGAACGTTAACTTTCCAATGATATGCATTAATCAAACTCGATTATTTTTTATCTTTTGTTTATATATTATGTACGTGGAGTAATGTTCTTATGAAAGCTATTTGTTTTATAAGATTTGAGTAAATAGTTAGTTTATTAATAATATTTATTCTAAAAGCCTCTTTTTAATTAGAAGTAATTAATGTTGTTTGCGATTGTTATGGCCTATTGGTGTTTGGGGCAAATTACGTGAAACATACAAACGGTCTTGACTGGGACAGTGCTGGCGTATTGGATAATATATTGTTAGCTGGTCGTGTATTCGAACCCCGCGGACAACAACAAAAGGATTATGTCAAAGTTACAAACTAATTACACTGGATCATTACGAAAAGATTCTGGTAGCCGTAAAAATAAATTTAGTTTACACTTATTAACTTTATGTGTATAAAGTTTTATTTGAATACATAGGCGTACAATGAATGTTTCTGGTTACTCTGCGTTAATATATAAAAACCTTGTACTCTGTTTTAAGTGATCCATTTATCATTTATTTTAAACAGTTATAACGACTAATTCTTATAAATTCGGGTAAGCCGAAAAGTAGTATATATATATATATTTGGCACAGTTTACAATGCTGTTTAAGCCTACAAAATACAGATCAATTACGTAATCAAAATACAAATTTGAATTGTCCGGATCTCCAATGAACTAGATTCAAACTACATCGTAGCATGTAATTTCTTCAATAAACTAGTAATAGCTAGAGTCTTCCTGTGCTTATAAGCTAATTTGCTGACCCTTGTCGAATAAACGCTAGTACAAGGTCTTGTGGAATTACTGGAATGAGATTTAAATTGTTGAATTACGTAGGAAGGTCTTTGTATGAAATGTATTTTTCTATGAATTAAATGTGTTCATTCGTTTTTAATGTTTGTAAGAATGTTTATGACTTCTAAAGTAATATTTTTTTACTCTTTCATTAATTATAAATTTGATTAATTGATAACCGTTACGATTTTTCAATAAATAGGACTCATCCTTTAACTTCCTAATGATTTTTGGAGTTATCCCAACTAGTATAAGGGAGGTTCCAACTTAATTTAATTTTAATATGAATTATATACTTTGGTAGCTAGTTGTTTACTTAATAATTAGTAGATAATAATAAATTAGAAGCATTCACACTTTTAAGCAAGCATTTTTTTTTAATATTTTGGAATTTAAATATAGGCTATGTTACTCATGGATAATGTAGTATTCCAATCGTGAAAGAATTTTGGAAATTGTTTGAATTTCTTTTGATTTTATAGTTACAAACATATACATTTATAATATATGATTCCAATATGTATCATATCACTAAACATGTATAAGACAAATAAGCAATATCATATGACCTGAACGCCTAAACCACTTTGGTAATGATGATTTATTACAGCGGTGGTAATCGTGGCAGTTTCTGGCCGTCCTGACAAGCCAGACCTGAAGCAGCTCAAGGCAGAAGCAGCACGTAAGAAGGCCTGCTTGCACGACTGCGGCAGTGCCAAGTTTGAGCCGATATGCGCCGGAAAACAGGGAGAAAAACCAAAATCATTTGGTAGCGAGTGTGTTCTGAACAATTATAACTGCGAGAACAAAGACAGTAAGTATAACTCTTAAACGGTGGAAAGCAGACTGAATAACAGTTAACAGAACTAAACTAAACCGCGTTAAATTCGGACAATTATTTCAATAATATAGATATACGGCGTTTTTTCAGCAAGTAAGTCTTGGTGTTTTAATTTAAAGAGGATTTTCTTTGAAATTATATACTTCTATATAAAAAAGCAATGTTTTTGAGACTTAAAAAAGATGCTCTCATGTTAATAATTACTTAGAGGTCAGTGATTAGTTTGTGTTTTAGTATTTCAAGTAATAATAATTTATTGGTATTGGTAATGGTTAAATGCCTCTGTTTCGATACACTTTAGCCTGTGTTTTAACTGCATCAGACTTATCATAAATTCGACTGAGGGTCCTTCAAGAAAAGAGCGAACCAATTCTCAAAAGGCCGACAACACACTCGCGAGCCCTCTGGCATTGAGTGTCCATGGCTGGTGGTATCACTTAACACCATGTGAGCCTCTTGCCCGTTTGCGTCCTGTTCTATAAAATAGAGTTTTAATTTAAGTTTTAACATTGGCTTTTGTAAACATGAAACAAAGGCTCACAAGACCTCGAATAAAAATGTTTTTGATGAATTATGCGAAATGACTCATGACTTCCATAAATAGTGCATGTTCACTGTTGCGTTGCGGCCATTAGGCTTTGTTTATATACCTCACTCACCTTGATTTACATTATCCTTATGTATTTAAAGCTAGATATGTGACTTCCTTATGTTTAAAATTAAGTATTTTTATGTTAAGAGAAAGTTTTCTAAGACACTGCTTTATGTCAAATTCAATATGCTTTTGAGATACGGGTTATTAGTGAGGTAATGTGTGTAAATAAAAAAGTATTAAGTTGGTGTCTGGTAGATAGTACCGGTGACCCCAGGGCTGGTGCTTTCCTCGCTCAACGAATAAGTATCGCAGTACAGCGAGCAAATGCTGCCAGCGCTAAAGGTCCAAACACTGCCAAACACCAAACCTTTTAAATTTATTTTATTATTACTATGTAGGTTAAGAAAATTGTAAACACAGTATATTGGATTGTTATGTTTAGGTTTTATTAAACTATAGTTATTTAGTTTTAATTACCTAAAAAATAAGTTACTAGCATAGGCTAGGAGGATAAAGTTGTAGCATTTTCTCTTCCTTTTTTGAATTATTATAAATATATGCTAGCTTAGTGTGTGTGTAACCCGTACGTTTCTCAGGGATATAATAGTTTAGGTATTAAAAACATAGGAATGACAGGCAATAATCAATCAAATTATCTCTTAGAAACTGGTTTTATCTGAAGTGGACAGATAATATAGTTTGTATAAAACCTGCAGATTTTTTATATTAAAACTTATTTTTCCAGCTCTACAGAAGATAAGTAAGGGTGAATGCAAGGGCTCCGACGGTATCCGCCTTTCATAAGATGTGCCAAAGGCTGCTTTCACGTGAAATACTCGTTTTTATTTTTTCTATTTATGGTTTTTCTAACAACATTTTTGCCTGCTTTTGACTTGAATAAAATATTTTAAAGCTTACATTTGTTTAAGTTTCTAAGACTCCTAAGGTTTCTTAAGATTGAAGGAACTGTAGTACCATACCATAAACCATCTATTTTTACCTTAGAAACACGAATTAATAATATGGGGTCACGGCAGTGCGCCAAATATCAGTTTGAACAGATAACTTTATGATACTTTAATTATATTCAATTCAAATGATCTCTTATTAGTGCCATCTATCGCCGCGAAGTTTAAATATTAACATATTTGAAGAGTAATTAAAAAGCTATAAAAATTGTTTTTAAACGGCTAACAGCGTTAACGAGCCTTATTTAGTGTCATTAACATAGTTTTAATGATTTCCCTTTAATAAAAAACTTCAATTAAAATGATTACATGAAAATTTTATTGTAATATAGGTCGGACACAAATTGGTACATAATAATTGTTAGAATAAATAGAATTATTAAACTAAATGGAATGTTTCATATTCCAAATACCAGGATAAATAACATGTTTTTATATACGACCAATACATACTTAGGATAAATTACTAATTACTTCAATTTAGGGGCTCAACACAAACCCAGTGTACCTGTACCTCTTGTTTTGTTGAGTTTTGATAAGAAATCACGTGTTCGGTGAATTATTGTTTTTATTTGTATGCACATCTGGTAGGTAGTTCTTGAGATTATACAGTCCAAAATCAGTGATGGCGGATCGGGGCTGAGTCAGGCAAGCTGGGAAGGCGGACTCTTTTTATTTTTATATTCTGTGATGTGAGCTTTCGCGGTAAGTCTCATATTTATAAAAATTATGCTATGTGCGCGTTTAGTAGACCTGTTGCATACTCATTATACCTCATATGATTTTGACAATTTAAGGCCAAAAATGCCAACTTTATTTATAATGTGAAAAAATGATTAACTTTTTTTAATACACTGGATTTTCAGTTCAAAACTAGTATAGGAACTTTAAATTTCCAAATAGCAACATTTTTAGTCTAAACTTACGCTTTTTATTTTTCAATATTTACCAGCAGGCTCCCATATCAAATCGACTTCAATTGCGATTGTCATTTTAATTAGCTATCGTACTACACAATTTTAAATAACTGTATACATCAAAATTAAAACGAGCTTTATGTAATCGGTAACGTCTTACACAGTAGCACTGCCTATCAATTAAATTTCAATATGTAAAACATGTCGAGTATCAACTATCTGTTATTAAGTTATTGGATTCATTAATAAAATCTAAATACTTAATTTAATAAAACAATACTTTAAATTTGGATACATCTTCTTTTATCAACACTCCCCCAATCCTGTGATAGCGTAATCTGTAATTAAATAAATTAATATTAAATTTACGTTAAAAGTTAAAATTCTATTGAAGGTGACACGACTGCGAAAACTGTCTCCAGTAATGTAGTAATGTCATTAAAAAGGTGGCCCTACAAATCTAATCGCCTTAGAGTTTCTGATACAGATTTCTGTATATGTTTGATTAATTGTTTCTTGACACATGCTTCTAAGGCAGTATGCCCATATATATGGTTTCAGTACAGATTGCCTTCAACAAACGGTAAATAAAAGAAAAATCCTTTGAAAATAGCACGCCTGCACGTCGCCTATTAAAATTTAAAACACATTACGTTATCGAAGCAAAGTCGACGCAAGCTATAACAATATTTTGCTTGATTAATATTCTCATAGAAGTCGTTAAATATAAATAAAATCTAAATATGGGTTACGATATCGTATTCTATTTTAAACCCTTTGATTTATTGAACCTTCGTTTGCAGTCTATTTTGAGGCGTTATCAAACTTTATCAGGAGAAAATTACTGTATGTGCTCCTTTGAATGAAAAGATCCTCTACTTTAAGTGAGGTTCAAATTAACTTATAATAAACTATGATTGCACATTAAATACCATGGTTAAAAATAATAATATTTTGCATAAAAACTTAATCTTACACTGTTTTAAGTGAAGAATTTATGTCCTTTTTTTAAGAGAACCAAAGAAAAATAAGACAATCTACTGAAATCAGTGTACAAATACTTATTCATAAAAAAATTATAATTCTAAATAGAACGTTACATCTAAAATACTTACCTACGTCTTTTTAAAATAGCATTTAAAACATAAGTTTACATAAAGAGTCAAATTATGTTTATGTCTACTATGAAAGAGTGCAGTTGATTCCCGCTATCCATACATAAAGTGTAGATTTTTTTATATAAATGAATATATTAATAGGGAGGGGGGAAACGAGCCTACGCCCATAAAGGGCAGTCATCGCAGCCCATGGACACACATTTTTAATGGGTGCGTTGCCGGCCTTTGAGGGAGGAGTACACTCTAACTTTGAATAGTTGGACGTCGTATCTCTCAGGGAAGACCCCCCACCGCGAGTCGATTCCACATTTCGCTAGTTCGCAAAAGAAAGTGACTTAAATATGCTATATTATGCGATTCGATCTCGAAAAATTATAAAGAACCCGGTGGGTAAGAACGCTATAAAACGTAACGTAGCATAATGTTCACACTATAATCCAGTGTTATCGGGATTGTTTAAATGGACATTCTAACTCACTGTCCAACGTGGGGCCCATTACCCACAGGGGGGCAATTTTATTGTTAAGGGGCTATTCGAAAATATTATTAAAATTATTTGGAATTAGAATTTAAGTTTTTCATTATATGATACATATTATTTGTTTCTTTAATTTTACGATATATTTTTTTTAATTAAAAGTTATGTATGTTAAATAAGTTGGCATAAGAATTTTAATTTTAGTAAGGAAGAAACACTGTTCTAACCCTTTTGGAGGGCTTAAATTTTATTGAACTGGAGATACCGTTGACCAATCACATTGAAACGAATGGCGTATTGTCTTTTGTTTTATATACACTCATAGAAACACACCCACACCCTATACGCATTCTCTCTCTCTTGTTGTTATTATCTGTAAGTCTTTAATTGGCGTTTCGTACATACAAACATCTCTCTTTACATACATGTACTTTCTCGACACGAAACAGCTTCCAATTCACAGAGAGTGGCGAATGTTCTAGCTGTTCCTGTAGCATCGAAGGCGCAGACGGGTCCGGCTGGTGGTGAGGCACATCTGCCTGCGCAGAGCGGAGGAGGGACCCCTTCCTGCACCCGGGCCCTCACCACCCCAGGTGGCAATGGGGCCTTAGGGTCCACTGCCATCTCATTATCTTGAGTGAAGTAGACAGGCCCCACTATTCGAAGATTCGCTGACTGTGCTTCTTTTAAGGCTGGAAAGCAAATTAAACATTAAATCAAAGTTTAAATTGGTCCTTCTTGTTACCAGTTTCAGTTTAAGCATTTTTATAAGAGGATTGCTCCATTTTTTCTTGCTTTAGAAGCGTAGTGAGAGTTGAACATTTATCCAAGAGTATAATAATAATCAAGTCTCATTTATTCCTTGAAACATTCATCCACTTTTACAACAGATATACACCCTTAAAATGTTATACAGAAATATTATTTTTTCAAGGACCTCTTAAAGAGTATAGGCCTCCTCCAACTGGCTCCATCTCTCTCTATCTTAAGCTATTTTCTCCCATTCTTCTCCACCAACTCCAAGTGTTTACAAAATTATAATAAAAGAACGTAAAATTATGAAGAATTATTTCTAAAAACAACCTTTTGTTGTACACGGATGGAAACAAAAATGGACGTAAAAACTTTTTTCGTGGCAGAAGAGAAGAACCTCAAACTCAAAATAACTTTATTCATATAGGTAAACAAGTATACTTATGAACATCAGCAAAAAATATGTAAAATTGATTCTAAATTTAAATTACTACAGTTCGCAAGTGAAGGGCGTAGAGCGGACAAGAAGAACTGGCAAGAAACTCTCCGCCACTCTTTTTAATCGCCAAGTTTTGAGTCATACAAATTGTTTGAACTGGAGCAAATCAATGCCAAGTTACGATCATTTAAATAATCATCAAATTTTTAAAATACTTAATTGATTAATTTACGTTTAACGAGAGCTTTGAATTTATTCAGTGATAATGCTTCAATCTTGCTTGGGAGTTTGTTGTTAAAACGAATAATCTACCTCTCTCACACCATTGACAATAAAGCGATATGATATGAACAGGAAAGTTACCTACTACGTGGAAATTGCTGCTTTATGCGATAAATTAATTGGAGCATCGATTGTTTATTTTCCATTATTGTTTTGTGTGACCCGTATCTAATCAAAATTATTTGTACGTTAGTTTTCCTATGATCTCATCTATACTGCGTATTAATTCGATTACGTGTGAATCACTCAATACAATTATGGTTTAAATACATCATTCTTAAGTATAATTTTAGGTAGCTTTTCATCAGTTCGTGAGTACTGGTTTCTCGAAGAAACAATAATTGTTTGGTATTAAAATAAAATCAGTGGCGCTACAGCCTTTTAAGGTCTGGGCCTCTAATTTCTGTATCTGTTTCATGATTATTTGTTAATCTAATAGGCAAGTAGGGGATCAGCCTCCTGTGCCTGACATTCGCCGTCGAATTTTTGGGTCTAAGGCAAGCCGGTTTCTTCACGATGTTTTCCTTCACCTTCGAGCGAATGTTAAAATGCGTACATAGAAAGAAAGTCCATTGGTGCACAGCCAGGAATCGACGTCGAATCTACGACCTCAGGGATGAGAGTCGCACGCTGAAGCCAACACTGCTCTATTGTTTGGTATTAGTAAGAACAAAAACCTTGCGTGTAAATTAGTATAACTAATTGGTGGAGTATATTAAAATAAACCGTGAGAATTGTAATAAACTGATATCATATATCCTGCTGATTCACGAGGAAGCATCCTTTAATGAGGTCGCTTTTAACATATACATATAAATATAGAAATGTACATACATATACATATATTTGTATGTACTTTTCTATATATATGACGCCTTCAGAAATTTGTGTTTCATAGCTAAAGGTAGCATGATGTCCGATCTCTGGTCTGTTTTAAAAATTTTGTATTAAGTTTTGACACAAATTTGTGTAGGTGCTACGAAGTTCACCTGGCCATCTAGTACCTAATAAAGTATCAAAAAACGTAATTAAAATACTTATTATACAATATACATATTTAAAAAAATGTCAGATATAAACAACTTTCTGTATAATAATAATAGAAATATATACGTAGATAAAAATAAAAGTGCTTCAGCCACAGTTTATCTCTGCCGAAGTGAGCCCAGTCAGCGTGAACTTTACGTGATAACCCTTAGAACAAGTCGCCATACGGTCTAAGTCTAAACTATTTATTGAGAATAAACTACCAAAAGAATTGAGAATTGAGAATAACTACCTTCTCAATCGGGGGGTCGCAGTCTGTTGAAAAATGATAAATGCTAAAATTTATGGCGGAGATAGAAGTAGTAAGAATAAGACTAATCTAGGAACTATGTCCAGTGAATATGGAGGATGTTCCAAAGCCAGCTTCTTGAATGACAAATCTGGACTTGTGCGCGGGTGAGTTATCTTAATGAAATACCCAAATGGTTGTGTGGTAAATAATATCGTGGAAACTTAAGAAATGTTCATGTCTCCTGGTATAAAACAACTAGTGTAACAATGTTTTCCTTAATAGAAGTTCTTCCTCGCTTGTATAATATGAACCCCTAATATTGCTCTCAACTCTTGATTTACCAGCTCCATAGTAATTTTTTTCAATCCGAGATATTTTATTACAGCGCGAATATCATTTTAATCCATTTATGAGAACACGTTCCGACACAACGCAAACAAAAGACTATTAAAAAAAACAAAAGACAATTGATTTTTAATATTTAAATGTAATGTAAATGTTTTTATTTTCAAAGAACAAATCATTATCACTACTTATTCAACATCCCTCGTATAAACAAGCCGAATAGGTTTCATCAAAAATACCAAGAAAACATACGATCCTTCTCAATACGATGTATAGTGAGATGGTTTAACCAAGGAGGATAGGATATCTAAGGACATATAGCTACAGAAAATATAGTATGGCTATATATTAAAGATAGTGTTTCTTACGTATCTTTTACTTTTTTATACAATATGATCATGAAAAGTTTCGGAATATTATATTAATGTTGATTAAATTTAACTGAATATTTTCTATTTTAATGAAAAGAAGATATTTAGATTTCCATATACAATACTCTTATCCATGGGGCTTGCCTGATGGCTATTTTTATGACTAATTATGGGTGTAAGTTTTATAAATATTAAAAAAAACTAGAACTGATAGAATGTGACTGGACGCCCTTTTTCTTTAGTGGTATATCAAAACTTAGGAGACTTTTTATCAAGACAATCAATATAGGTCATAGGGCAAAAACCATGTGCAATCGTTTGATAACCATAAAAGTTTTAGCGTGCAGCGACATGCAAAATTAAACAAATAAATCAATTTTTTAACCTTAATTTCGATTCGATTGGAATTATTCATAACATAAATCGATCTTATTACACTGTCTCATTCGTTTCTGCAATTCCTGTTAAGCTGAAACAGCGTTATAACAAGAAGAAAAAAGTGTTTACCTGCATTAATAAAACAGTTAATAAATATCGGAGTTAATTCGGCAGTTATATGATAATGTCAAGTTTAGTTAAGAGATACGACTGCTGTGAAGCACTCAATAAGTCATTAAATGTGGTAATTTCACGTTTATCTAAAGAGATTTTAATGCACAAACAAACAAAAAAACATTCGGTATAAGTCTGGCTATCTATGTTTCTGACACATCCCATATGTGTAGTAGAAATTGACGCAGTTTTGCGAGTTTTCAGATATTTTCATCATTAATTTCAATCAAATCATTAATTTATGAGAATTTGTTCAAGCATTTTAACAAATTATGTATTGATACGGTTGTAGAGGTGTGAAAGGAACGCTATATTTTATTACCAAAACACTTGACAACGTCATAACAAAACATTGAGGAAGTGATTGTATACTTTTATGAATAAAAATGAATCTTTTTTATAGAATTATCACTATTCTGTATAAAGAAGGAGTGAATCCTCGGACGCATAGGCCAATAGAGTGGAAGAGAGATATATGCATCGCAAGCGTACAATAAGCGTAACGGGACAATTAGTGATGCTTTTTCGTACGTGCAGCCGGCGTTCATCGATTTATTAGACGTTGTCACGTAACAAAAACACTCGATAAATATCAAAACTTACATAACAAATCTATGCTCAAATAATAAACATTATTTCACAAAGAAACTTACCAATAAAAATGATAAGGTATAGAATCCCCCAGCTTTTCATTTCCACTGACGATGCGCTGTAAGTTACTCCTTACACTAAAGTTTGTTTACGTGCACTTTTGCACTTTTTAATGGAGTGATGATAAACCAATGTTGTTTGGTAGAGATTTGTTGGCTTACTGCATCAGTAGAGTCCCAAGCTTGCTTCGGGATGGACGATAGAGGGGAAGTGGGCGCGGTCACTGATAACCTTTGCCACCGCCGGAGGACACTGATAACAGCGCCTTTCAAATGAGAACTATATCTACTTAGGTGTGATAAATGGCCCAAAGCAAAAGTATAGACGGAAAGGGTAGTAAAAAGTTAAGTTGATATATATTCAAAGCGGAGTTAAAATCACCAATACATCATTTTAAATGAACGACTTAAATCATTATACTTTATCATGGATATTGCCCAGAAGCGTCAGGCAATATATTATTTATGTAGAAACATAAATTGAACCCAAGTACAGACCATTAAAAACGCACCATGCTCTGTGAAATAACCAATTTTTTTATTAATTTACCGTTGTATTGGGGCATACCTAGATATGCCTGGGTCATGTTACTGATTACGACTGTTTTATTTGTCATTTAATTATTTTATTTTATTTTTGATCTTAAACATCACACACGGTAAAATGAGGACAATCAGATACTTATGAAAATATATTATAGAAAGGATGTAGGGTAGACTGAGTACGGTTGAAACAATTTTTCTAATGTCGTCTGCTGCATCGGAACTATTTGTACAAGCTATTAAAGATCATATATATGTTTACCAATGGGCAATGTTATTTGTGATCATTATATTGTATTTTTTGTGAAAAGTCAGATTTAAAAATAAATTTTATTTGTTTCAACCGTCCCCACGTCTTGTCGTCCGCTTAATTATCCCCTTGTACCCCAACGCATCACGCACGGTTGTTGAGATATTCGCTCTGTTTCAACCGTACCCCGTTTCTACTGTACCCAGTCTACCCCACATGTGTAAAGACATGAGAACTTAAGAAGGGGCAGAGCTAGCCAGATCCATGCAATTTCCTCACAACCGAGTAGCCCGCAATATCGCAGCACACAACTCACTTTGTATGAAGAAGTCACATTCGCAAACATCCGCGAATATACAATGTAAATACATTATGTAGGAATAAATAAAATAATGATAGCAAATTTACACAGCATTGTTACTAAAAATATAAATAGTTGTCTTCTGAACCCTCCAATTATTCTTTTATCAAGAATTCTACCTAAAACTAATACGCATCGTGCGTCACGGAAGCCGTCGGAAATGTAAACTCACATTTAAGTTCGTTATAACGAATGACAAACAAAATATGACCATTTTAGACATTCACACGAATAAACTGGTCGTTGCAAAAAGGAATTCCCACAAACCTTCACGTTAGAATTACTTGTAAAATACGCAGTAAAACACTGACTCACAATGATCTAGGATCACTGAAAACCTTGAGTTTGTGTTCATTAATAATATAACTGTTTATAGCGTTCCTCACCACAGGAGGTTCACGAGTTTGACAAATTAAAATAACCTTTTGAAAAATATTACCAAATAAAGTCAAGTATGCCGTAAACAGTATAATAATGTTGCTTATTATGACCATCGCTATGGAACAGTCTGCTCATCAGCATAAAGCTGAGCCAGGGCCAATTACTACCACATCACACACTTGAAACGAACCGAAAGAGAAAAGGGAAAAACAAGTTTTTTTTTTAAATCTCTCATTATGTTTTTTTTTCTTTGATTATTGTTATTATGTGTTTATGTGTGTGTGTGTGTTTGTGTTGTCTATTTTTAATTTTCCATATTTAATTTATTAAGAAATTTTGAAATATTGGTTTAAATGACTGTATTGTGAAGCGCCTGACGTTAAATGAAATTATTTAGAGATTTTGCCATTATATTGTAAAAGGATTCAATCTCTTGCTCAGTCACATTTAGACTGGTCAAATTCAGTGGTAGATCCATATCATTCTGACCATCATTATTCATATTCATAATATTGTAGAAAATAAACGCCTGATCGTCTTGTGTTATAAAAAATAATGTACACCTTTTTTTTCGTGTACGATGCAATTGCAATAGTGCGACTCGTGCAACATTTGTTTTTTGTTCCCTACTAGCCTTCCTCCCTACACGGCTACATTCTCGCTTTGGCTTTCTTTCAGGCATCGTCTTAGTAAAAACATATTTCGATGGCTAACTAATTTTCTTGTATGCATTAAATACCTAGTTGACGAAGCGTGCTCCAATCCTAGACCCATCAATGCAGGCGTTCCGCAAGGTTGTGTTCGGTCGCCCACCCTGTTCCTTCTGCATAAAAATGACCTGTTGAACATCGACAACATCCATTGCTATGCAGACGACAGCACGATCGACATATTATATTCCGGCCACCCGAACATGTCCCGCTCTGAAGTCGATGAGAACCGTAACAAACTTGTTTCCAATATTGAAACGATACTGAAGATAGTTTCTGTTAGTTTTGGGTAGGGCTAAGAAGTAATGCACTGAGGTACAACGTATACAACCCTAGAAGGCTCAAGTATGTGCTTATATGGAATACTGCTCACATCTCTGGGCCGGTGCTCCTAAATACCAGCTTTTTCCTTTTGACCAACCTCCAACGTATTACTGATCGGCTTGATTCTCTTTCTACGCAGAGACATTGTACTATGCAGAGTGTTCTGAAAAGTTATATGGGAAATGGGTTGATCCCTTCTGTCTCGTTTCAACACCCTACAAGCTGTATTGATTTCATCAGCATCACCTTGATGGTGAAGTCTTCACCTCATCAGACACGTTTTTTGCGAACTAGCGAACTGTGGAATCGAGTCCCAGTGAGGATCTTCCCTAAGAGATACGACCTCAAATCGTTTAAAAAAAGGTATTAAAACGGCCAGCAACGCACAAAATATGGGTGTCCACTGATGACTGCCCTTTTTGGGTGTCCAGTAGGCTAGTTCCTCCCATATATTAAATCCTTTATTTTTATTTAAATTTAAAGTAAAACTTTCAATTCAATTAATCATTCATTTTCAATGTTAACTGTTTGAAATAAATTTTCTATAATTCCTTTATTTCTCTCTTTTCTTCCTCTATTTTTTCCATTAATACTCTCTCAGCAGTCTTTTGACTGCTATCCTAAATACTTTTCCAATTTTGCATCAATATAATTCTGTGTTCAGATATACAACATTTGAGTTTTTATTTGCCTTTAAAAGTAGAATAAAAAATGTTCTTGACCGGCCACGTCATGCACCTTCGTCAGATACTGTATCTCTGGTTTATAACTGAATTTTAATTATATATTCTGTGTTTTTGTATAAATTGAAACCCGATTTAATTTAGTGCATGTCAGGTTTAGCTGCTAATCACCTGTTATTGTATTTACAACGACTTAAAAAACTAGAAGCACTTATTTTTTTGTCCTCCTCTAGGAAATAAGAATTCTTATTAAAATCTATTTTCTGCTTTGCTTATAGCCCTGTTCTTGAGAACAGGATAATTTTTATCAGTTTTCTCGGGGCTTTACGTTATATATCGAATGACGCTGCTCCATATTTATTTACAGTAGTGTTGTTCTTGTTCCTTCATGTTTTATCGATGAATCTTTAATTACAAGGCAAGCCGGTAAGTTGAAATATATTTTAAAAATATACTGTTGTGAATTACTGTGATGATTTATTGTAGAATTTAAACAAATACATTACTATAACGTTATTAAATTAAAGTTGAACTATATATTGAAGAATAATACATAAAGTAAAGAAGAAAGTGTCAAATGAATACCTTTGTTCGTTTATGTAATAGGAGGCAAACGGGTAGGAGGCTCACCTAATGTTAAGTGATACCGCCCCCATGGAAACATGGATTGATTATTTGTTAATAAATAAGAGAGCAATAATGTTTCATTTCCCAGTTTCATATAAATTTTCACGCATTGCTTGTCAAATTATAAATCAGAAAAAAAAATCAGTAATATAAACTGATAAATTAACCACTATCACAGATATTGAGAAGCTATGTTCAGATTTATTTGAACCAAAAACAAGATTGTTTTGAAAATAACTTTTAAACATTCTCCTACACAAGTGAATACATATAAATAAACAGTTTTTATCGACAACTGGCCACATCCCTGATAAACAAGATACACAAGTGCAAAAAGTCGCGAGACAAGATTCATTTATAAACACAGTATTTATAAAATGACACCAGTCTCTTAACAAACAGCGGACAGGTCAAGTTCATTTAAATATTTTAAAATGAACAAGTTTTGTGCTTTGTTAATTGTCGGTGAGTATTAATAATTTAATTATTCGTTTTGCTTTTTAAATTGGTTTTCAATTATAAGTTCAGGGTTTTAATATATTATAACGAGACAGAATCTGGCTTGGTTTCATAAAAACATTTCGTATATTTAAGTTAGACGCTCTTTGTCATATCCATAAATCTGGATGAAAATTATTTTGTCACATTTTGTTTATTAAAACCGAAACATAACAATCAAATATAGATACAGTATTTATAATTTTCTTAACCTACAAAGTAATAATAAAAATAATAAAAAGATAATTTAAAAAATTCAACAAATTTAAGAAGTTTGGTCCCAGTGTACTTTTAACGCTGGCAGTATTTCCTCGCTGTATTGCGATACTTATTTGTTGATCGAGGAAAGCACCAGCTCTGGGGTCATCGGTATACAATCAGGCGCCAAGTTAATTCTTTATGTTTTTGTTCTCTTTGTCGCATTTATTTATGTCTATATATATATATGTATTTTATCCTTTTTATAAGAATAAAAAGGATTAAATACTAACCGGCTAGTTTAATTTTAAGATTATAGAGCGTTTATAATATACATCTTGTACTACTTGATCTGTTTAATATGTTTCCTAACAATAGGCAATTAAAATAATAAAAAATAATGTTATACTGTTTAGGTAAATATAAATAGAATGTCATTGTTAAGTCATGATTTCGTCCAAATGGGAAAACCAAATACGTATATCATGCAATACCAACACCAGCCTTGCATCCTTGGCTCGTCTTTATTTAAAATAAATCAGTGGCGCTACAACAATTTTAGGACTGGGCCTCAGATTTCTGATTCATTATCATTTGTCAATCTAGGCAAGAAGGTGATCAAGCGGGTTTCCTCACGATTTCTTCCTTTACCTTTCATTTGTTAAATGCGCACATAGAAAGTCCATTCACACAGCCGGGGATCGATCCTACGATCACAGGGATGAGAGTCGCACTCTGAAAGCACTAACACTGCTCTCAATTTTATTCAGCAGAGTATTTAAAAGCCACTATATATTTTACATAATATTACTTACGGAAATAATTAGATACTATTTAAATCTAGATCTTGCTTATTCGTAATTATGCAAACGTAAAACAAGGAAATCTATTATTCATTCACTGTTTGTATGATCGATATTAATTTTTTTTAAATATGACAATTAGTATCATGTTGCATCAAAATTTGTTTTAGCTTTTCTAAGCAGCGTGGCGTGTAGAAGATTAGCGCGGCAGACAACAGAAGAATTAGATGACAGATACGGCTTTAACCAGCCATGGCAAAGACCTCAGAACCCATGGATGAGGCCCAATCAGCCGTGGATGCGGCCCAGTGACCCTTGGGGCAGACCCATGAACCCAATGGATCCTTTCCCCAATCCTAATCCAATCCCCACAGCACCAACGCCGGCCCCCACACAGGCACCTGGCGGGTAAGTTAGGGGGCTATTAATATTGAACTAAAACTAGTACTCTTCTTTGTTGGCGTGTCTACTGAATCTCTAAATGTTCTTTTATTATATGATTTATGGTTTTGGATCACTCAATTTTGCAGGACTTTGATAGAACAGGGCCTTATAGCCAAGCGGTCTTTGTATGTGGCAGCTTGGTGACGGGTACCGGGTTCGATTCCCGGTTCGAAGGCAAGTTTTAATTTAATTTAAATTTGTCCTCGGCCTATGGTCGGGTTGTACGGTACCGGGCGGGTGCCTAAACCGTACATGGCGGACACGGTCGAATTTCTATAGTATGCAGAGGGCATCGAACTATAGAAAGGCGACTGTGTAGGTTTATAACGTAGCAATACGTTTTAATCCGGAGTGGTAATTACAAGTGGTCAATTCAACATTATTTTGCCGTTGAGGTCCCGGTAGAATGTGACAGCGACCCCAGAGCCTCTGTAACGCGGCTTTGTAGGAACTACTCGAGGTGGTTATAGTGGGTATTGCTCACCCAGTCTCTGAATAGCAGAGATTTTGGCGTGGGTCGAGTCCCATACACCTGCAACTTTTGAGGGCAGGGGATGCGCAAATGCATTTGCACCTCGGATATCAAAAAAACAAGGACTTTGATACAAAGAGAATTTTTTACATAATACTTATATTATGAACCTTTGCAAGCTTACCTTTAAAACTCTTTATAATTGCTACAATCATTAATTACAATGTCATTTTTATTCAGGTCTACGACAGAATCCCCTGATGTTCTAGCCTGTCAGCGGAACTGTCCAGGAACACCTGAGTACAATCCAGTATGTGGCTCCAATGGTAAAGATTACGACAACCCTGGCCGACTTTACTGTGCCCAGATGTGTGGAATTTGTAAGTACTTTGCATAAATGGATATTTCTACTTATACCCTTGAATACAGTCACCCTCAGCAAAGTTTCACTATATTCAATAGGTAGCGTATTACAATACTGATATAGAGTTTACGTTTTATATTACAAAAGACATATGTAGCTCTAAGAACAATATTTTAGCAAAATACCTAAAGTGTTTTCTGTACATTAAGTAACCAAAATCTATTTAAATTTTAAATAGTATTTAAAATTCAAACATTCATGCTATATATTTATTTCTTAACATAGTATCAGAGTACATACATAATTAAAAACCACACTGCTTTGTAGTAAAATGTATATAAAATATTTCAATATCTAATATGATTCTAATCACGAACGTACTATGAAACTCAATACAATAACGTATTTTAACCGACTTGAAAAAATTTAAGTTACGAATTTGACCTGCCCTACGATTCTGTAACTCACTTTTCGAACTCACAGAGCGGTTTTCGCATCGGCGGTCGCTCTCAAATCAGTCGTGAAGCAGTCATTTTATGATTTGCCAAATGTGTGAGTTCGAAAAGTGAGTTACAGAATCGCAGGGCTGTATAGATAATATTTGAGGATGACCTATGCAGTTACCAAGCACGTCTCAATTTAGTACTCAAGTAGTCTCAATTTCGTAAGTGTTTGTTTGAACTAAAATTAATGACGAGAAAAATAGTCTCCTTTGTTTAATTTAAATCATTTATTAAATTAATTAATAAGTAATTTTTTTCCCAACCAAGGGAACAAAGTCCAAGTTTCATATAAATCAGTAGTTTTTGAGATATGATTAACCCTTCATTATTGGACGGGACATGCCGTCTAACCTGCAATTTGAAGTCGGTTTATTTTTCCTAAATTACTTTTTGTCACTTCACATTATTTGCAAACTATTCGAGGTTTACGTTGAGTTGTCTTAAACAACCGCTTGATTAATTTAAAAAATGATTTTATATGAGTACTAATTTATTCATCGAGTAAACAAGTTATCAATAAGGAAAACGCAAAGTTAAAAGATTCGCTTTGTGGATGTTATTACGATTGTTATCTTATTAAATAATTTAGTACATAGATTGTCACAAGGAAAATCGACCGTTGTAGTATATTAATTATTTGTCATCAATATCAGTAAAGGTTAGACGACCTTCTGATTATAATAAAAAACATAAAACCTGAACAAACATTGATACTATTTTACCTTAAAAATACAATCCAATATACTATATATAATATTCCAACTTCTTCCAGTTCAGTTCAGGTTAAATTGTTCTATATTATTATAAAACGTATCGTGTTAGTTGCCATGGTAATGATGTTTTTTTTAATGAGATCTCGCTATTGGCTTGAAGGGATTTGACAGCTTAATTATGTTTCATTAAAACAATGGTAACCTGTTAAAAGCTATCTTCTGTCCCTGCCTTACAAGGCACCTACAATCTAGGGTTACAAACACTACGTTTCAGGCTGGATGAGGATCTTCTTTTTAGTTTGGAAGAAGAGCACAACATCATACATGTGACTTATTGTAATACGTTATTTAAATTATCTTCGATAAAGAGCTGCATTTGATTAGAACAAGCTAATTTAAAAGTCGTTTCTATAAAACAAAATATAAATCAGGTTTTGTAAATGTCCGAACATGTTTTCAAATAATAATTCATGTCTAATAAACAAGTTTTATAATTAAAATTTGTATTTTGTTCCAGCTGTGACGATGCTACGACAATCAAAGTGCCCCACAACGCCAGCTCCTACCATATAGTTTATTAAGTTATTGTACCATAGATAAGTAGGTAATAAAAATAAAAAAATAAATATTTTTTTTAATATAACCTTACAGTGTCCAGTGGTTATAACTTACCCCTTACCCTTACAGTGTTGTTGACTATATACATTTATACCTGATTTATTTCAGCGATATTAAAAGACCCCAAAATAACAGCACAATAAGTAATAAGTACATAGAAAGCGTTTTTTTTAAATATATGACAGGAGACAAACGGGCAGGAGGCATATCTGATGTTAAGTATAGCTATAGAAATTCCCAATGCCAGAGGGCGTGCAAGTGCATTGCCTGCCTTTTAAGAATTGGTACACTCTTTTCTTGAAGGACCCTAAGTCAAATTGTTTCGGAAATACATCGGTGGGCAGCTGATTCCACATAATGGTGGTGCGCGGCGGCCTTAAGAAACGCTCAGTTGTGGAACGACGGACGTCGAGGTGATACGGGTGGAATTTCGTATTCTGCCTCGACGTCCGATGAAACAAGCGCTTGTATGTTTTTCTTGCAATGGACACATTTTTGCACCTTGAATTCAGATGTAGTTTACATGTACGTTACCACTGTCGGCATCCATGCATTTATGTCCCCATAGAGTAGCAAGCTATGAAGCAACTATTTTAAACAATACACAGATACATTACTTATCAAAGTACTTCGAAGCATACAATTTCACTTTTCTATTTAAGCTTGTTTATATATTATTACTAGCAGACCGGCAAAGCGTTAGTGTGGCTAAGGTTTTTGTTATAATATATTACATAGTAGCAAACTATTCAAGGGAAACGGTAACACCAGTCATGGGGACCACCATGCTATTTTGGTGGATATGCCATTAAATTGAAGCTTATATGAAACGTTGGTACTTATGGTAATATCGATATTTAATTAAATGTCTAGAAATTCAATTAACTCTCTGATTTAATACTTAACTGCGACCTAAAGACAATGAAAGTAAAGGCTTTATAAATTCTAATTTTTTAGTTAGCTTTTTTTTAACTGAATGTATATTAGCTAGTTTAAAAAATCTCTTTCAAATATAACTATTCCTTTTTATAATGTGTTAATCTGTTTATAACATAAAAATAGTCCTTACAATGACGTTACACTGTAATACTTTTTAATATACCCAGGTTTTTAAAATAAAAAAGTATATTTAAAAACACAAAAAAAAATATAGTAATTTTAATTAATTAATTATATAACGTACCGATGTTTCATAATGATCTCCTCCGATTAATTAAATTGAAGTTACTCATTACTTAAAAGTCAAAATTTTAAGTGATTGGCTCTAATGGAAAGGCGTAATAGATATTCTACTCCTCGCACGTCCAAAGTGTTCACGTAATAAAATAAATGGAAATAACTATATTTGAAAATCAAATGGAAACTAAAGCTATACAAGAAAGGCTTCCCTTGATTGTGGACTGCCTTCAGCCCTTATTGTTTGTGGAAAAGTGTTTTGGCACCTTTCGTTTTCGTCAAGTAAGAGGATCTTTGAATCCACCCACATTCAAGAGTAAAGCGTATGCTATAGCTCTGTTAATTGTCATCGGCATTCCATATTTAGCAGCATTATGCATTTCACAGTCACCGTATGGTATTGAAGGGATAAAATTGGAACTCTCGAATGCAGCACCGATCGTACTCGTAGTGATTCAATTTGTAATATCAATGTTCGTGCCTTTTATGTTCTCTAAGGAGAATGTTATCATTGTGCAATCATTATCCCGAATAGATGACCTGTTAAATGTAGACGAAATACACTATAGGAAAGGCAAACGAAGAATTTTGGTAAAATTAATCACCTTCACTATTATTTTTATTCTAAGTATGATATACGAATTTTATATTCAAGATGTGTTCACAGTTACTGTACTGTTCATATCACTAATTAAATACGGGGACAAACTACGAATATTTTCATTTTATGTAAACATTAGCTTGATAACTGAGAGGATTAATATTCTCAATAAGTGTTTATTGACTATAAGCAATATTGGATGTAATAAAGTAAAGAAATGTTCCGTATTTGATTGGGAATACCCTTCTATTAGTAAATTCAGTTTTCGAAGTGCATTTGTTTTTTGCTATAGTTACCTCATTTTTTAACATAATAACGTCGTTATATACACATAAATTTTATTTTGAAATTTATAAATATTTCTACCACATATTTCATACTTCTTATTCAAGTCTCTTATTTCATATAAGAAAAAATGTTTTAATAACTATAGGTACAGTATTTGTAATAATGAAATAAAAAAGACGATTTAAAAAAATCTAAATTCCTGCTTTAATTTATGCATATTTATATATGTACTAAAAAGGTTGGCTAAGTAAAATCACATTAAGGAGAAACGAAGTTCGCGAGGCAGCTAGTATAACTATATAAATTGTTATAAATATAAATTGGCGACCAGAATCTTTATAGAAAGTAATAATTGAATTTTTTAAATTATACATTTTTATTATGATATTATGTGTTTGAGAGGTTAGCTAGTTGATTAATTTTATGGTGAAAGTTGATCATTTTTTTAGAGAAACAGTTTTTTACTATTATAAAATTAACGATTAATTATTAATATTATTTTAAACTGAAACGCAAAATAACATTATTAACATAGGTAACCAAGTACACTTATGAACGTCAACAGAGAAGATGTTAAATTAAATTTACGTTTACTACCAGTTGCCAGCAAGTCAAGGCGTAAGGGCAAGAATAACTGGCAAGAAACTCAACTCAGTTTTCAGTCATACAAATTGTTTGAACTGAAACAATTTGTTAATGTCTTTACGTATTGTTTAAAATGAATTTTGGAAACAGGATAGCTTGGAAAACACATAAGTTACGAACGTACATATGTAAGAAATTACTAATTGCCTTATACATAATTTATAACTTATTAGTAAGAGCAAATTGGTCCTTGTTCTACACCTATATATGTCTTACAATAACCGGGAAATAATTTATTGCTTTCCAATATAATACATGTATAATAGGACGTTAGAATAGGTCTGTACATTGTCGTGTTTATGGTGATATAAACAGTAAATGAAGGGAGGCCTATATCCAGCAGTGGATGTTGACAGTTTGAATGAACTTTGTCTTGCATCAATCTTATTAATAGCGGGCGGGTTAAGGTTGATTTTTGAAAATCGAATAAAATATTTTGCGCCTTCCTAGCATATTAATAGCAGTGACGTTTAGAAGTTTCAAATACGCCTAGTAATGCTACAATTTAAAACATTTATTTATGGAATGTAATAATCCCCCATTATTTAAAAATTATTTCTAAGCAACTTTTTCAGGCTTTCTACTGGCATCCTAGTCAAAAGAAATGAAGTAGATTTAGAAAAAAAAAATATAAGTCGCTAGATAAAATAATTTTTACAACGGAAACTTATTAAATTAGTTATCATAGTATAACGGGCCTTTTGAAATAATTTTATATTTAGGGAAACTACAAAAGGTCTACTCTTTGTCAGTGCCTATCATGCTATCAGGCACTAAACCCTTTAGTATTTTCTGAACTTTTACTTTTTATTAAGCCTTAAAAAATAATAAAAAGTAATTTGATTATTTCTTTACGTTTTAGATTTAAATAAATAATTGCTTAAGCGTCTCCTCAATATTACTTTTTTTTTAGTAAAGAAACTTCTTTACATAGTAGTATTATAAAATACTTTGCCTCAGTTCAATGCAAATTGTTGTATCCGCATATGAAGCTGTAGAAACATAGATCTTGGTGACGTTCAAAATACTACTTGTATTTAATTTAGCTCGAGGTCTCCGAGTAAACCCAGGATAATTGCCATTTCTAAACATTTGGATACAATACTATCATGACTCAGATAACTCATGACTTATTAAATATCCGGTCAGGTAAAATTTATATTGCACACCAAGTTTAACCGCAGGTCATTTAGTTAACTGACGCTGTTGTGATATGTTATATTAAGTTAAGTGTATTCGAGAGTTATTTATAAAAATGGTGTTTTTCGTGAGTAAGTGTTTTTGTGTTTATTACTTTCGTTATTTCGTAGAACCTGCGTAGGCTATTGCTACGAGAAATTGGTAAAGTGAATAATGTAATTTAAGGAAAAATATTTTGTGCAGACAAACTTATCCATCAAAATCCTACAAAGCAAAGTCTTTAGTGAGAACTCGTTTTGACAAACGAGAGTTAGTACTAAGATAAGCTTAGCGTATCCTAAGAGATGCAGTACTCTTGTATATTGCATTAAAACTATTTGTGGCCGTTTATTATTAAAATACAAAGCATACAACGTGATTTTACCAATGATGTTATATCGATTTCATAATGAGTTGTTAATTGGCATTTCCCACAATTAGTGATTTAATAGTTACTGTATTGTTTTATTTTTAATTGAACGTCTAGAAAGAAATGTATAAAATGGTTTGACAATATCTTAATTACTTTTTTTATTTTTATTTAAACGATACTAAAAAAGGAATATTTCAAAGTTATATTTAAAAATTATATTAGACTCTGTTAAGCAATTAAGGTTATTAACAGTTATTTAAAAACTTAAAAAACATTGCAAATACTAAACTGTATACTACATAGTTAAACAAAAAACAAGATTCTTTAAATTTGACATTTCACGGAGAACTTCGAAAGTCTTAAGAAATTAAACGCAGAAAAAGTTTTTTGAATTCCAGTTTGACAATGACATTTGCATACTATTTCCCCATGGCTGAATTTTACAGCTCATTTTGTTTATGATGGGAAATAAAGACTTCCTAATATTAACAAATTCAATCAAACCAATAAATAAAATTCAAAATTCAACAGAACCTCACAGACGGTAAAGAATACGGAATTTCCAAATTGATTCGACCTAGACCTTCAAAAAAGCGTAAACTAGAAAGGCCCTGCACGTTCATACTTGATCTGATTTAAATCAGAAATAATAATAAAACAATACACATCATTAAACTGATTAACTTACACGCTAAATATAAAGTAATATTTAGCCCCTATCATAGGCAAACACTTATTGATTTATTTATTAATTTTGGTTTTTCGTATCTCTAGCGGTTCGAATCCACATTGGATCCAATGTACATATTATATGATTTAAAAAATTCTTGTATGACATGATAAACTGTAAAATGCCTGGGAGCAATCGGATATCGTCGAAGTGATACCAAAAGTTAATTATTAATTATAGTGTGAAATTTTAATTTTTCAGTATTTCTGATAGTACTAGTATGCCACCAGTCGCTCTGTTACCAAAATTGGAATCCCAGAGGCAACTCAGGTAGCAACCACGACTTCGACTCAGATTATAATAATAGAGTTGTCTTCCCGGACACTGACGATGATTATTATCCAACTTGGTAAGTTTATAAACTCAAACTCAAAATAACTTTATTCATATAGGTAACTATAGGTAGTGTACTTGACACTTGCAAGTAAACAGAAAATATATTAAATTGATTCTAAATTTACATTTACTACCAGTTCGCAAGTCAAGGGCGTAGAGCGGCCGAGGAGAACTGGCAAGAAACTCTCCGCCATACCTTTTGATCGCCAAGTTTTGAGTCATACAAACAGTCAGTTCATATAAAAAAAGAATCGATCCAACAACTAACAACATTGTCCCAATAAAAAAATATTATTTTTTAATATTGGTATTTTTGAGTAGGTTTTGGAGTAGTTTAGTTTTAAGTTCGATATTGTATTTTTTCAAATGTTTCAATTATTTATATATTTTGTCTGGAAGAAACTGCCTTTAGCAGTACGTTAGACCGCCCATTTACAACGTCTTTATTTTTTTACTGTGGTGGTGTGGTGTTTGTGTTATTGTGGTGACTTCGGCGTGCGACTCTCATCCTGAGGTCGTACGTTCGATCCCCGGCTGTGCACCAATCGACTTTCTTTCTATGTGCGCATTTAACATTCCCTCGAACGGTGAAGGAAAACATCGTTAGGGAACCGGCTTTTCTTACACCCAAAAAGTCGACCACGTGTGTCGACAAATCATCATGAATCAGATTCAGAAATCTGAGGTCCAGATCTAATAAGTGCAGTGCCACTGATTTTTATTTGTTCCTGTGATGTAAATAAAGTGTCATTATTATTATCTTTTGAAGTGCAGAACATTAATGTGTTACATTTTAAGCTATTGCATAGATTTTATCGCGGGATTTGAGCGCGGCGGCCGAATCAAGAAATTCCGTAACGAAAAAACCTAACACACGATGACGTAATATAGGTGCGGCAAAAACGCGTTAGAGTGGGACAGAACACATACTGCGTATTCCCATCTCTCTGACGGGTTCGGTGACGAAGCGTAAGCGCGGCCGGTGCAGCCAGTACGCGTTAGAGTGAGACAGACTATATAGGCGTTTTAGTCTGAGTCTGGTAGAGTGGTAGATGGAAATAATATCAAAGAAAAAACTTGAATTAATATCAAAGAAAAAAAATACTGCATAAATAAATAATTACAATTGCATATGTTGATAAAAAATGCTATGCAATAGCATTACCGCGGCAGTCACCGAGTGCCACACGTTTTTTTATCATTCACCTGCAGTCGTGTTGGTACAAAGAGCTTATTTTATTATACTTTGGTATTTCTTTTTCTATTTTGCACAATAACATAATAATAAACGGATAGGTAGAAGGGTTAGAAACAAAGTAAGGGCTAGTTCGCAAACTATGTCTCCAAATTCTATTTTATATCAAAATAACACATTCATAAACCTGCGGGAGCCTACATAGAAACGTGTATTAAAATTGGACCCGCATTTCATATGATTTTCTATAGGTCTATTAATACAATTTATAATACCACTGTACTGAATTATGTTCAAATTACAATAACGCATAAATTTGCATAATTTATGTAATCATTATGATTGCATGATGTATTGCATAATCTTCAATGCCATATAAAATCAATAGTAAAATTCCCTGAACGTCATAGCTTCACCTATTATCGAAATACCTTATTAATGAAGTTCAATGATGCTGACGTGATCTTGCGTATTTTTTGGGTGACGCACCAGAATTGCTTAATCTGTATCGAATTGTTTTGGATAATACAATTTGGTAATATATTACAAAATTGTGTTTACTTAGTCCATTTTATCACTATTTATTTTTTAAGTTTACCATTTAATACATAATGATATATATATATACAGAATACAAGCTATCTTTTCTGAAATATATGAAAATGTTTATATTACCATAATGTAAAATAAGTAATATATTTATACTTTAAAATTTTTGTACAATAAAAGTTAAAAAATAGATAGACTTCTTCCAGGCAACCCTAGTAAAAGAAAAAAAAACGAAATACTAAAGGTAAGGTGCAAGAAGTGCGTGTCCAAATTAACAAATAAAAATACAAAAAACACTAGAATTTCCAAATTGAATCTAAAATAATAAAATAAACTAAACATATAGCTAATCTTACGGTAATATATTGTATGAACTTATATGACTATAGTACAATCACGATAATATGGAGAATTTCCTCTGTCAAAATCTTAAATTCATCATAAATCTAGCGTGGATATTACAATTATTATTATTATAAAACCTTTATTGCTGACACCTAGTATAAACATTTGTTTTACTTCATAACCTAACTTAATCTAACACATCAGATGTGCAGGTTTTGGTCTGATCAGCAGGTCCTGTGACACATAGGCCTCTTCCAGCTGCTTCCATTATCTCTACTGTTAGCTCTTCTTGTCCAAGTTGTGCCTCCTATACTCTTTATATCGTCTTCCCCCATCTTGCTCTGTCTTCCCCTTTTCCTTTTTCCATCTCGTGGTTGCCATTCTGTAATTATTTTTGCTATCTCTCAGCATGTGCCCGGTCCAACTACATTTAATTTTTTTACAATCATATTAAAATTAGTTATTCTTAAAAAAATATAAATTTAACAAGTAATTCACACCGTTTTTATAGTTTGAGAAACTTCTTTGTCACAATGTTATCTTTATCACAAATGTAGATTTTGTAAAGATAAAGAGAGAAGACAGAAGTTTTAAAATATTTAACATATATAACAAATAAGATACATTAACGTGGAAGTACCTTACGATAACATACCATAAATTCAAGATTAATAACAGATTAATTATGTAATCTACAGGTGGCAGCAGAGTACAACCCGTAGACCAATTCCCACAAATAACTTTCAGTCTTGCGTGTCCTCGTGTCCTGTGACGCCTTACAACCCCGTTTGTGGCACCGATGATGTCACGTATCAGAATATTGATCGTCTTAAATGTGTTGCTCGGTGCGGACATAGTAAGTATCGCGTTGGACAGGTATTTATTTATTTAGTAATCCTACAGCTAACATAAATTATATAAGTCGGATCAATGGCGCTGGTATCAGCTGGTTTCATTGTTTAATAACATCAAAGTCAAATTAGGTCAAATCAGTTATATTGATTATTTTATTTGCCAATATTAATAAATCTACAAATTAAAGATTTTTTGATAGTCTGTAGTAATATGTTGCTAGATTTATTCTATTTATTTATTTACTTACAGCCCATTCATGGCCAAAATCAGTCTAAAAACAACATAAAACCACAATAAAATACAATTAAGTTATTTACAAAATTGACAGTAAATTCTATCCTTATTATATCCTCCAAGTATCTCTCAAATCACAGTATACTACCCCCATACGCTTCTCAAATAGGTCGCTCACCTGTGAAGAATCGACAACCCGTTAAGCTCTATAAATTTAAATTAAAAAATTAAGATCGATAAATTAACGACTATTCAATGGTCGATAATAATGACAGCCATTAAACAATATAACTGATTTGAACTAATTTGACTTTGATGTTGTTAAATAATGAAAATGGTATCTGATACCAGCGCCATTGATCCGACATAATATATATTAGGTTGGGGAAAAAGTCTTTTCGCATTATAGTATGTATGAACTTGTAATAAAATCTCTTTGGCTATACTATATGTACCTGGCTGGTTTTGTTATCAAGGAAAGTTGAGATTTTAAAGAAGATAATTCCAAAATCAAATTAGGATAATGTCTGTTTTTTATTTATTTTTCGTTCCGTCAAGATAAGTGAATCGAATGAAGAAATTCGATACATTTTAAAATTTTACTTCAAAAATTCTTGTTGCAAAGGACCTTCCATTTGCAACACAAGCCGCGAAATAATTTGCGATGTTAATATGGCCCTAGCGCAGTGTCTGTGACAGTAGCACAAATTTGGTTTCAGCGTTTTCAATCGGGAAATTTTGATGTTAAAGATCCAAGTCGCTCTGGTCGCCCTATGACGGATAAAATGGATGCCATTTTTGAAGAAGTGGAGCAAGATCGGCATATCGGTAGTTACGACGTAGCTGAAGAACGGGGAATTGACCACAAAACAGTTTTGGCGCATTTGAAAAAACTGGGTATACAAAAAAGCTCAATATTTGGGTACCTCACCAGCTTTTTGATTCTTTATTACGACTTAATGGAACCGAACCATTTTTGAAGAAGCTGATAACTGATGATGAAAAGTGGATCACGTACGACAAGAAAGTGCGAAAAAGACCGTGGTCAAAGGCCGGTCAGGCTTCACAGACTGTGGCGAAACCCGGGGTAACTCGCAACAAGGTGATGCTGGGTGTTTGGTGGGATTAGAAGGGCATTATTCATTATGAGCTTTTACCACCAGGCAGGACCATTGATTCTGAACTCTACTGCGAACAACTGATGAGATTAAAGCAAGAAGTTGAAAGAAAGCGGCCGGAATTAATCACCAGAAGGGGTGTGGTTTTTCATCATGATAACGCTAGACCTCACACATTTTTAGCCACTCAGCAAAAACTAACAGAGCTTGGCTGGGAGGTGATAATGCATCCGACGTATAGTCCTGACCTTGCACCTTCAGATTTCTACCTGTTTCAGTCTCTTCAGAATTCTTTAGGCGGTGTCAGGTTAACGTCACGAGAGGACTGCCAAAACCAATTGTCGCGGTATTTTGATCAGAAGCCCCAAAATTTCTATAGCAATGGGATCATGTCCCTACCTAAATGATGGCAAAAAGTTATCGAACAAAATGGTGCCTACATACTTCAGTTAAATGTAAATAAACTATATTTAAAAAATGTTTTGAATTTTCTTAAAAAATGCGAAGAAACTTTTTCCCCAACCTATTAATAACAAACATTTAAACTATAAATATAGCCAAAGATAAAACACAATTTTCACCTACAAAACGTAAATGTGTGACTGAACATTTACAAAAGGGAAAAGAACAATAAAAATTATTCAATAAATTTAACTATAATACCTAATTTACCTGTACCTGGCATCATGAAAATTGAGGTAGGCGATGGAAGTGTGGCCTGCCTTTCTTTGAATGTAACGTCACCAAAAATAAAGTGAAATGTAAACACCTAAAAGCTGTTGTCCCAGTGGCTTCAGCGTGCGACTCTCATCCCTGAGGTTGTAGGTTTGATCCCGGCTGTGCACCAATGGACTTTCTTCCTATGTGCGCATTCAACATTCGCTCGAACGGCGAAGGAAAACATCGTGAGGAAACCGGCTTGCCTTAGACCCAAAAATTCAACGTGTGACAGGCCTATTTGCCTATTGGATTCACAAATGATCATGAAACAGATATAGATTTCCGAGGCCCAGACATCAAAATAATTATGTTATTTTATTTAAATACTTTCTACCTTAAATCTATTTGGTGTAAAACTACATACTCATACTCCTCCCTCAAAGGCCAGCAACGCACCCACTAAAATGGGTGTCTATATGCGTTAACTAAAATTTAGAATTGACTCTTGATATTCCATAACATAGATTTCCACCCCGGCGATAAGCTTCGCTAGGGTTCCAATAAAAAAAGATGCCCATTTGCCTTAGAAGAAGTTAAGAAGAGTCTCAAATACCACAAAAACTACGACGACTTTTAAAGATCAAGGCGGAAATGGCTTTTACTCAACTCACACACACACACACGACATTCATCTTTATTCAACTTTAGTTTGTCGAAAGGATTACAGTTAGACGAATCTTAAAGTTTTTTTTTACATTTCAGACATTCAAGTCAAGAAGTGGTCAGCGTGTGAAACAAAAGAAGATTCTAGAAGCAACCTCCAAAGTTGTATCAAAAAATGTCCCACTACCCCAGAGTATTTGCCCGTGTGTGGGACCGACAATGTAACCTACAATAATATTGGGAGACTGTACTGTGCACAAAACTGTGGCGCCCGTAAGTAGATATGAAAAATCTTTAAGACGATCGACAGGTTGACTATTGAATACTATTATTATTACAGCCAGGTATACACAGAATGATTGCCAAGTTATGTCAATCATTCTAGCAGACCGGACAAGCGTTGCTGTGGCTAAGGTTTTTGTTATATTACATAGTAGTAAACTATTCAAGGGAAATGGTAGGAGAACACCAGTCATGAGGACCACCATGCTTTTTTGGTGTTAATGCCATTAAATTGTAGCTTATGTGAAACGTTGGTACTTTCAACACAGCGCCATCTGTTAGAATTGTGACTATCAAATAATAAACAAATAATTTGCAATAAAATAATATTGCTGTATAAATTGAGATGTAAGCTATCCTATCTTATAAGTTAGATCAAACTGCACACGGTGTGCAAACTTGATTAAAATCGGTTCGGTAGTTTAGGAGTCCATAGCGGACAAACAACGTGACGCGTAATTTATATATATTAAGATTATATAAATAAACAGATAATATACTTATATTATCTGTTTCATGTATATTGTATATTAATGTAATCTGTTTTGGCTTTGTAAATTGTCTTAGTTATATGTTGTATGTGTATGTTAGCTGTAAGTCCAGGACACCAGCCAACAATATTCTCAGCTACATACCCAATTTAGTATATATATGTGCATTGTGCATAATTTCAGGTGTACAACTGAAAAGGAGTGCGCCTTGTCCTCGAGATGATACAACTACTACGGAACGAAGTGTAGACTTTATTAGGAAATGTATATCAGATTGTCCAAGCACAACCGAGTACAACCCAGTGTGTGGGTCTGATGGTGTCACCTACTCAAATATGGGGAAACTTCAATGTGTGCAAGGATGTGGTGTTGGTAAGGCTTTAGTAATCCTCCTAACCAGTTATTTGTAGGCTAAGGTTTTATTGAAAATCGAACTCAGGACACACTAAAGCGAATGCTGGGGGCGCATAACCTAGCGGTCTTATTAAGTGGCAGCTAGGTGAGGGGTACCGGGTTCGATTCCCGGTTCGAGGGCAAGTTTTAATTTAATTTAAATTTGTTTCGAATTTCTAAAGACAAGCACGAATTATAAAAAAATCCTATACTTGACGCTGGCTAATGCACAAATCGTGCCAGAGCCATTAAAAAAAAAGCGAATGCTGACGGCTGATGTCTCTTGCTCCGGGGGACAAATTCGTAAAGCAATATTACGACTCTCATTTTTGACTTTCTTGGGTCTTGTATTTTTTTCGGAATTCTTGTAAAACATTTTATGATAAAAATACACGATGATGTGTTTATTCTACGGAAATTATTTTGTGCACAATGTTGGTAATACTCGTTTATCTAATTTTACTTTCCTGAAATAGATAGCAACATCCTTAAAGATAGTTTTGGTTTAAATTGTAATTCTACTAAATAAAAGCTGATACGACAGCTTAAAAAAAAGAAGAGTATAGAGGTAATATAGACCTCAGTTTCAAAATGACGGTCATGCGAAAAGAGTATTCAATTATCACGTTCTATACATTCGTCAAAATTACCGTCGTATTGGATAATACATTTATTTGTATTTGTAATGTACTTAGTATTCTACTAATAATAGCATTATCTTCGTTTATTTTTCCTGAAAAAAAAAAATAGATTTTGCTTTTACGACTTTGTTCCGCGAGGCGTAAGCGATGTTTGACTTTCTTTTAAACCGTAGGTATAACGCTTTAACTATAATTTAAGGATAGGTTATAGACCTATATATGAAGACCTAGAAGGCGTATATTTGCCTAACGATGAAGTCCTTGAAGAAACCATCAGAAACCAACATAAATACATACAACCCCTATTTTTCATTATTGTAGATAGTTATTTTTATTGAACTAAATAAATCTTTCCTAGAAATAATCTACATGGCAAAACAAACGTTTGCCGGGTCAGCTAGTATTTCTATAGATATTTAGTATAAAGCTGCATTTTTTCCAGATGTAACAGTAAGGAGCCATACATCCTGTTTCCTCCTAAACACGACACCAGCGCCACAGACCACAACGATCAACGTGCCTTTTCCAAGTATGACCACTCCACCCACAGACTTCATAATTCCACAGGATTTGCTTGACCAGGTCTTCAATAATCCTCTAGCTCACGATAACGACGAAGTACCCAAAATAGATCCAAGATTTGATATACATTGAGGCTGTTATATTATAAATATATATATATATAAATTAAAATTGTTGAAAAATATATTTTTATACTTTTTTTAACGAAAACTTTTAACGAAATTTCTTCCTTACAATAATTTTCATATATTCTTCATTTGTCCTATAGTAACCCAATCTTTGTCGGGTACAACAAAACAGGGCCTACTAAACGGTCAGTATTATACGAGTTTTTTTTGTATCAAGTTATCGCAGGTATACGGATGAGATTCGTTAAAAAGATATGTTACATCGTCTGAGCGTAAAATAAATTATGTACAGTAGTATGACACAAATCTCTATCGCAATTCGTAAGGCAATTTGACTCTGTTCAATTAATCTAAAACGAACAATGTTCTTAAAAGGCAGGCAACGCACTCACGAGCCCTCTGGCATTGAGATTGTCCATGGGCGGCGGGCGGTATCACTTAACATCAGGTGAGCCTCCTACTCGTTTGTTCTATAAAAATTGTCTCAAGGAATGAATGCGCCATCTTGGTCGCGCAATCGAGCGAGTCAATAGACATTTTTAAATTATTGGGGCCCCAAACACTGTACAGGATAATCAACATACAGAACAGAAGAAAAGCTATAAACATGCACTACAGTTTAAAACTTATAATGGGCAGTAAACACTTGTCCGCTATTACGGCAGTCTTGTACCAAATGTCGATAAATATTACCTAGTTGGTTGAAAAGAAACATATCAGGGGTCATGTCATAGAACACAAGTTCACATGTTTTAACACGTTCACTGCGGCAAGTAAAATCATAATTTTTCATCAGGTGCGGCGGCGGGCCAAAATGCGCCCCCAATGATATTTCCGCCGGTGCGTGGCAGGTCTTTCTAGACCCAACAGCACTAGGATAGATTAAATTGCTATAACTTTGTGGAAACATTATGTATACTTTTTTTTTATATTGTTAGAATGACCTTGAACCCAACTTTCTTAGGTTTGATTCGCCCCAGGATCTGGCAAACAGGAAATGAGAAATAAAGCAGGAAAAGCGGCAGGCCGATATCGACCTGTTACGCAGTGAACGTGTTAAACCAGTGTTTTGTGATACACAATAAGTCTAGTAGTTTAAGAAGAGAGAAAAAAAATATGCAAATACATTTATTTATTGTTTTACAGGAACACATACATTATCCTTACAGATTATGCTAATACGATAATATCCAGAAAAAATTAAAACAATTACAATATCGCTACTGTTCACTCTGCGAACATATATGTCAATAGTGGCGCAACGTCTTGGTACGGATATGTGCAACCGACTGGTTCCGGCATTTGGTATCGCAAACAACCATGGCCTCCGACGTCGCACATATCTCATAGGTACAAAGAAACCGAGTTCTTGGTGAACACTTGGGTTGCACACCACCCCCCGCTAGACTTTCAGTATATACTACTCCAACTATAAGTCCCGTCTGGTATCAAGTAAATTTAGTCCGTATGCGCTCCAACATGAAAGCATTATAACACACCTATGTGCAAGAAAAATCAACTGATATTTCCTAAACACTTTATACACAATTAAAATCTACGCACTCATGAATATAAGCTTATCTAACCTATTGTACATACATTGGAAAATGTTTGAAATACGCCCTCGGCTCTCAAAGACCGCAGTGTTTGAGAATAATCTATCTGCGAGAGAAAACGTTTTGCTTTAAGTTTTGTTCTGTATGTTTACGAACATTTATGTAATATGTGGTTTACCATGACCTTATTTAATGCAAGACAAATATTTTATTACAACATGTATTTTACCTGACAGCGTGGAAATGCTGCAAGATTTAAGGTACACTGCCACGGGGATAAAGTTCGGCCTGTATTATGATAGTACAGGCCAAACTTAAACTTACCTATATGCTAAATAAGTTTATTAAAACAATAAATTTGCGTAATCAGTTATTTAATTTTTAATAAGCATAAACACAAATATACTTTAGGTAAGTTTATTTTGTAAAAACAGTGATCCAACCTTACTCTGAGTGCTCATCCAATTCAACACGCACACAAACAATCATTAAATATTGACAGATATTGATAGAACACAAAAAATCTAGATTTTATGTTATGCTCAATATTTAATTCTGATGCGTTTACACATCGATAAACATTGACGAGATCTCAAGGATATACATGAAAATCTATTAAAACTCGAAAAAGCCACAATTCACATCTTTATAATAATTTAAGCAGTGGCGTAACTATACCATCTGGGGCCCGTTGCAAATCTTCTTTCGTGGCAATTCTTTTGATGGAGCCCTATCAGTCGAGATTTTCAGCGTAATCAATTACACGTTGTATAAGTCCCACAAATGGCCAGAGGACTCCTCTCTAGGCGAGAGGGAATGGTCTGTAGTCCCCACGCTAGCCCAATGCGTACTGGACTCTGGAGACTTCACATTCATCCATCGATGATAATATCTCTTGCGCAGGGGCCCTCTTGGTTCGGGAGCCTGTGGCATTTGGCCAGCCCTGCCACCCTATTGTTACGCCACTGAATTTAGGTTATCTATATTCTAGACAAAGTGAGATAATTGAACAAGAAAAATTAAACAAGTTGTAACTACACTTATAAACTTAAGTATTAGTGTGATATTTACATCAAACATTCCATAAATAACGATTTTCAACGGACAAGCATTAACAACTTCTATCAAAGTCTTAGCTTGTACTCGTGTTTCTTTTGGTAAATCATAATTCATAACAATCTTATTTACCAGAATTTTCGTCTCATTACGTTTCGTAAGAAGATTGTCACACACATAACAAATGAGAATAACAAATATAAATTCATATGCAGACCATACAATCATTCTTAACAGAAATTGGGAATCTTTTAAAATGCGGTAATAATAAATGTAAGTCCAAATAGCGAATACAATATAACAAAAATTTGATATCAATGTTTGTAACACAATAATAGCTAGCATTGTTTCAATCAAGTTCAACATCTCTTCAATTAAATTAAAAGAAATTGATACGGACTTAATGCTAAAACTGGTACGTCCAGTAAAATATATGTTTTTTCGTTTCAAATTTGCGTTTTCGTTCCATGTGTTTAATTTTTTATTCACAAGTGTTATTCTTTCTGTTACCATATTAATATAGACGGTGAATATAAATTGTTCTAGTTTTAGTCCAAACGAAATTAATGTCATACAAATAATTTGAGGTGTATTATTTTTATCATAATAAATATCATGAAAGCCACCCAGAAGACAACTAAAACTTAAAATGGCAAGCTGAATTCGAAGTTTTTGTTTAAATTTCTTGTAAAACTCACTTTTAACGCCAAGTATCCAATCGATTTTGGAAATAGTTTGAATAAACACGATATTCCTTTTCGAGAAAACTAAATGTACAATCAAGGATATTACGAATTCCGTTAAAATTATGCTTGGGAACACATTGAAAAGATCGAACACGACCCCTTCAAATTCATAAGGTGTCCGCAAACAGTTGAAAATTTCATTTAAGTACAACATTATTATGATTAAAAACACACAAAAAGTATAACATTTTCTTATAAAAGAAGGAATTTTTAATTCTCCATTTGTATAGGTAAATCGAAATATTCCCACACACTTCTCTAGCGTGACTAATGGATTTAACATCTCCACAATATAGCGGACATTATTCTCCATATTGCCCTTGTTCACATATATTTGAGTGTACCTTTCTAGCAACGACAGCCTTACGTTTGTATATCGTCATTAGGATGATTGCAGTTCATAAGAAATTACATACATACACTGACGTAATAATGCACTTAGAAGTATTGTGTTTGGAAATTCCCCCATAACAATAAATTCAAATGGATAATTTGATTAAACATGATTATTATGGTCCAATACATTTAATTACAAATTTCAAGCCACAATGTGTTTCAATTACATAATACATCCGCATGTAACATAACAATTGTATATACGAATAATATATAACTAATACAAGTTGTCCTTTATTTTCGCAATAATATATAATTAGTTACAGCATGTAAATACCAGCGATTAAGCCACTCAGCAGAAGCAAAATGCAGCAGAAATTAGAAATTTAAGTCTTAATAATAATACACACTACTTACTAACGACAAAGGAGATCTTTTATATCTAAAATGCTAAACAAAATGCGACACTTGGCATAGAAATATTAAATAAGTAGTGGCAACACCAACAAACTTCAGTAAGAGTGTAATGTTCATTTCAAACATTCCATAAGCGATTATTTTCCAATTCCAAGCACTCGCTACTTCAATTAATGTTTTAGCTTGGCCCCTAGTTTTGGTAGAGAAGTTGTAATTCATTATAATTTCATTTACAAGAATCTTTGTCTCATTTCGTTTCGTAACAACTTTCTCGCAGACGTAGCATATGAGGGCAAGAAAAAATAGTTCGGCAATACACCAAAATAGGTTTCTTACGAAAAATGTCGAATCCTTTAATATTCGATAGTAATAAATATATGTCCATAAAGTAATGATTACGTAAAAAAATGTTGAAATCAGCGTTTGGAAAATGTTGATTTCGAAAATTCTGTTTATCGTTACTATCATACTCGACATCTAACTGTAAGCGATGGATAATGATTTTATTGACATGTTTTCAACTTTACAACCAATGTAATACAATTCTGAAGTCTTCTTTATAACTATGCCGTTTTCGATTGGGGCGAAATTACGCAAATGATTATTCAACACATTTAACCTCTCTGTTATCATAATAATGTAGACGGAGAAGAATACCACCTGTAATTTCTGCCCAAACGATATGACTGCCATGCACAAGATCATAACTGTCATCTTTTGGTTGACATAAAGTTCGTATGTTATACTTAAGCTAAATGAAACCACAAGCGCACAGATTTTAATGATAGTATTACGTTTACATTTAGAATAAAACTCTTCAGTAATACCCAATAAAGAATCAATTTCAGATATGGTTTTTATAAATATTATATTTTGTTTTGAAAATACAAACG